TTGCTAAACAAAATGTGTTTTACCCTGCAGCACTCGGTGTGATCTAATGCTGAGTACAAATTAGTATATGTCTGGAATTATTAGCATTGTGCTGACCAAAGATTACCAGCATAAAGGCCATTTTTCTCCAAGAAATGCTTTTATGAGGCTTTTATGTGGAGGGTTTATCTAATAATCAATCAAATGTATTATTTATTGAAGGATGTGAAGCACCAGGCCACATCACTCCCTTTGTGCAAATCTCAGCTTGAGCTCAGCAGCGTGGGGACTGACAAAATCTAAGGAGTAGTATTCATCTTCTGGAATGCTCTCCAAAACTGTCCTCATCCTTCCAAAGTCTGAATCTTTGTCAGTTCCATATGTAACACACCCATCCTCATGAATATCTGCTGCAGGCTGATGGCCCTATAACAAGATATTTCAACCTGCATTTGGGAGACAGACACTCTCTCTACTTTTAAGATTAGGTGTAAAACTTTCCTTTTTGCTCCCTACTACAGCTCCTCTCTCCACACTGTGTATTTCATCCCGTCTTCCTCCCCTCACCCCCAACCGGTCATGGCAACTCGGGCGCCCCTCTCTGAGCCTGGTTCTTATCTTGACTGTTGTTGTGATTTGGTGCTATATACATTTTTTTAATTGAAATTCATCAAAAGACCTTTATCTACTTGTGAATGGAAAGAAAAACAATCTAAAACAAATGAATAAGAGCATCACTTACCTTATCTGAGAGGCACAAAATATTTGATGAATATATATCATCTAACATTTTAGCATCTAATCAATCCTCTGTCATCTTGGTCATTTGGAGGCAGAAGTGACGAGCCGGTGGAGTGTAAAGTTATCGGCTAACACTTGCAAACTGAAGTAGTTGCCTTCATGTATGGTATAGATGCAAAGAGGCAGATATGTAATAAATAGTGTTGACTAACATACAAATGAGTTGGCTACTGTAAGGAAGGACAAAAATGGAGACGCTTCATTGCTGCCCTAACTTATGAAAATGACTTGTCAAAAGCATAACTTTTGGCTGGGTGCAATTAACCACAGGTAAGCTCTCAACTAGCAGAGGTGAAGCCTCTGCTAGCACCTGGGTATGGTCACCTGGCATCCATCTCTTGGGAGTGAGATGCTTTTAGAACCGGACTCATTTCAGCAACCACAGGGTTTGGCACATTTGTTTTAAGGGATTTGCAATGCCTATTTTCTACAGTTGACAGGCTAACAAACCCTCCTGTGTCAGTGGCAGCTGAACTTCATTCGACCATGGCCTGCAATGACTTTGCCAAATTCTTCACAGAAAAAATCCAAGAAATTAGACAAGCAATTGGTACATCAACAGCAGATCCAGGATATGTACTGTGTCCACCAAAAAACTATTTAAACACCATGAAACAGTTTCAACCTATTAACAGCAAAGACCTGGAGGACATCTTAGGTAAACTGAACTCCTCCTCCTGCTGTTTAGATGTCCTGCCAACAAGTTTTTTCAAAAAGGTCTCAAAGACTTTAGAGTCAGACCTGTTGCAGATCGTCAACTTTTCTTTACTATCAGGTGTGTTTCCAGAACCACTAAAAACTGCTGTAATCAAACCTATACTGAAAAAGGACAATCTTGACAAGACACAAATGAACAACTGCAGGCCGATCTCAAATCTCCCATTTTTAAGTAAGATCATTGAAAAAGCAGTTTCTCAACAGCTCAGTTACTTCTTAAAACAGAATAATTGCTACGATGCCTTCCAGTCAGGTTTTAGACAGAACCACAGCACTGAAACCGCTCTGACCAAAGTGTTTAATGATATATGTCTGAATACAGACAGTGGAAAAATGTCAGTCCTAGTTTTACTGGATCTCAGTGCAGCATTTGATACAGTTGACCACAACATATTACTCAAACGACTGGAGAACTGGACAGGTCTTTCAGGAACTGTACTAAACTGGTTCAAAACATACTTAGAAAACAGGAAATACTTTGTATCAATAGGTAACTTCACATCTGAGCAGACAAGTATCACATGTGGAGTTCCCCAAGGTTCCATCTTGGGACCCCTTCTGTTTAACATCTACATGCTCCCACTGGCACAGATTATAAACAACAACAAAATAAACTATCACAGCTATGCAGATGACACACAAATATATATCACAATGTCACCAGGAGACCGAGGCCCTGTGCAGGCTCTTGGTAAATGCATTGAGGAAATCAATGACTGGTTGTGCCACAATTTTCTCCAGCTAAACAAAAACAAAACTGAGGTAATAGTCTTTGGCGCCAAAGAAAAACGATTACAGGTCACCAGAGAACTTCAATCTATACATCTAAAAACCACAAACCAGGCGAGAAATTTGGGTGTAGTGATGGATGCAGACCTAAACTTAGAAAAACACATTAAGACAATAACAAAGTCAGCTTACTATCACCTCAAGAATATTTCAAGGATAAAAGATCTGATGTCTCAACAGGACCTGGAAAAACTAGTCCATGCATTCATCTTTAGTAGGCTTGATTACTGTAACAGCATCTTTACAGGTCTACCTAAAAAATCAGTCAGACAACTACAGCTCATTCAGAACTCTGCTGCTCGAGTCCTCACTAAGACCAAAAAAGTGGACCACATCAGTCCAGCTCTGAGGTCTTTACACTGGCTGCCTGTCCGTCAGAGGATAGACTTTAAAGTTCTGATGCTGGTCTATAAAGCTCTGAATGGTTTAGGACCAAAATACATCAGTGACCTCCTGACCCAGTATGAACCTTCCAGATCCCTCAGGTCATCTGGATCCGGTCTTTTATCAGTTCCCAGAGTCAGAACCAGACACGGAGAAGCTGCATTCAGCTTTTATGCTCCTTATATCTGGAACAAACTCCCAGAAAGCCTCAGATCAGCTGAAACACTCAGTTTATTTAAATCCAGGTTGAAGACTCACCTATTCTCAGCTGCATTTGAATAAAGCACCAAATCCACACTTTTAAGCTTAAATTTCAAAACTTACATTTAACTACTGATTTTATCTACTGTTCTGATTTTATCTGTTTTGATTTTATATACTGTTTTGTTTGTTTGTTTGTTTGTTAATTAGTTAGTTAGTTTTTTTGCTTGTTTTAATAAATTTTAAATCATGCTTTTTATTTGTTCTTGTTTCTAATGTCTCTGTAAAGCACTTTGAATCACCTTGTTGTTGAATTGTGCTATACAAATAAACTTGCCTTGCCTTGCCTTGCCTATGAGGAAAGAAATGTGAGCGGTTTGAGAATACCATTGGTAATTTTATATTTTTCCCTTTATCCCAAGCTAACTGAAGCGCCTCACTTCCTGTGCTTCCTGTGAGCTGCTGATTGTTTCCAACGAAGGCTTGCAGTGTGCTGAATGTTCAGACCGGCAGGAGTAAAAGCCTTCGCACTAAATCACTGGTGCATTCTATCAATCCTCTGTACAAAGCAGGAAAAAAAGAAACGTGTATTTTTTATTGAATTTCTGTAAGGGACGTTTGTCCTTTCCGAGTGTGACAGCTTCCCTCGCCTGTAATCTGAATCACTTTATTTTCTGTGGTGTTGTGGCTGTGTGGGCAGCGGTGGGGTGGTGGGGGTGATTTTCTGCTGACGGTTTGTTCCTCCCGCTCCCTTGTTATTGCAGTGTTGAAGATAGGAACATGCAATGCTGCTCCGCCCTCCTCCAACCTGCCTGTTCTATTTTCACCCAGACAGCTGAAGCATTGCTCCTGTCGCCTCTGTCCTCTCACTGTTTATCTTCCCCCTTCTTCCTCACTTTCTCTTTGTCCTAGAGAACAGAGATTTTCTTCTTCCCTCTCTCTCTCCTCTCCTCCCTTGCGCTTTTCCCATTAGTACACTCGAGATGATATTTTCTTGTCCTTTTCCAAGGATCCAGTCCCCAGTTTTTCTTTTATCTCTTATCTAGGGAGTGATGGTTTATACTTCCTTTTTCTTTTTTAACTAATTTCCTTTTCTCTTCTGCATATGCGGTTGATGTTGTATATACGAGCTCTTGTTATGACCACTAATCGGGTTTTAACGGTAACAACCTTCCAGCCATCTAAGTCCCAGAGTCCTAATGAATTCAACAATAGTCAAAGGAGCTTGGAAAGAAAGCGACAGTCACACATGACCTGGATAACTAAGAACCTACACAGAAACCTCAACAATAACAGTTTTATTGGTTCTTCAACAGGATTTAAAAATGTTAAAGTGCAATTATAACCCAATAATGCTTTTGTTTTCTCCTCTCACAAAAATGGGTTATTGTCCGATTTAGCTCACTTTCCTCTATAAATATGCCCTGTTTCTCTATAAATAAACCATCCACTGGTTTAATAACGGCCCTTAAATATACCAACTCTTGGTACTGAATAAACCATTCCCCTGAATAGTTTGGCGGTGCCAATGATGGTAACTATGAGCGTTTGAAAAGGGAATTTATTCATGTGGAAACTCCAGTTCAGGACCAACTTGTGAGGCAATCACTGAGGTGTAAGTGAAGCATTGCAAATGTACAACAGCGGCATCACAATACCCATATATTCATAATAATAACAGTGATATTTAAAAATAAAGCACAACAATATGAAGTCAAATGTGTCTTCTTCACACATTTAGACTTTTCAATATTTTCCTATTTAGACCTTGGATGGTCTAAATTACAGTGTCACTGTCAATTACAGTGACAGAGAATTTCCTCTGGGGAGGATTGCTAACAAAAGTTGCTGAAATGTGTCTTTCACAGCCACAAATGTAAACGTTGTGATGATGCTAGAACAAGTCACTGAATTTAACCTCTGCTCACCGTGAATGTCTTTACAAAACATTACATCATTCCATTCATTGGATAGATGTTATATCTCTCACCAACCAGCACACACACCATCCCTAGAGACATGGCGCTAGCATGACTGAAATCAGACTATATCATTCTTTACGTACTGGAAAAGAAAGTATGAAAAATTATGGTTTTTGTTGTGTAATCTGTTGTTATTCTGTCATGCAGATTCTCTGTGTATCCAGAGATTCGACCCTGGGCTGGGACTCATTGCACCCATAAACCCCATGATAGCAGGAATCAGCCTGGTCCCCCCTCCACCCGTTCCCCCCGACATGCCCGTCATCAAGGAGATCATCCACTGCAAGAGCTGCACTCTCTTCCCTCAGAACCCTAGTAAGACTGTACTTTAATGTAGAACCGATAAACTTTACTTGAAAACTTTTAGGGGTGTGACTTTTGCAGTAAAGGTAGACAGCAAAATCAGGCTAGTAAAAGTAAACTGATTAGCTCAAAGGTACAGTCAGTAATGTTTATATACTTATTTAATAGAAAAAAGTCCAGAAGTTGTCTCCTTCAACAAAGAAGCAAAAATGTGAAAGAGGCAATGCAACAAGCATTTTTGAATTCTCTTCCTCCTCATCTCAAGCTCCATCTTTTATATAATGATAATAATGAGCTGGCTAAACAACAACAGCTGTTTATAACACTTTGCCAGCTAATGTTACACTCGAGTGTCCAAAGAAATGACGCTTTCCTCTCATAAACAGTTTGATTACATTCTCAGACCATATGAGAGTTTATTCGCTACATGTCCAAGTCCAATAACGTTAGCTCGACTTCAAAGAAAGTTTCACTAATGCCGACTGACAGCAGTTAACACTGTCAAAAACAGCAGAGCTTACCAACAGAAAAGTTTCGGATATCCTCAACAACTCACCTCAGTATCACTGTATCCAGAAAAATATGCATTGACACGTATTGACAGCTGAGGTAAACAGCAGGCTGAGAGCGTACACTAAACAACAGATGAAAGGCAACAAGAGTTGTTTGTCCTACAGCAGCCAACATAGTTAGAATTATGTAGCAGAATTTGAAGTGGTTAAAAAACTGAATTCAGTTGACTGCAGTCTGCTCATATCTAGTGGTGAGACTTTACAGGCTGTAACTTAGGTAATTAGCATAAATGTGAGATGGAATCTATTTTAATATTAGATGTTATTATTTAAATGTTGTTGTTTTTTTTTTTCTTTTTAATTGCTCAAACTTGACATAAAAGTCAATACTTTTCCTCTTTAAACTGCAGTGTAGCAGGAGAGCTGTGGATGATATGGCCATATAATCATGTAACCGGTCCTTTTATTGTGCCTCAGACCTTCCTCCTCCCTCGACACGGGAGCGCCCTCCCGGCTGTAAGACAGTATTTGTGGGGGGTTTGCCAGAGAACGCCACAGAGGAAATCATCAGGGAAGTGTTTGACCAATGTGGGGAGATCACCGCCATCCGAAAGAGCAAGAAGAACTTCTGCCACATCCGCTTCAGTGAGGAGTTCATGGTAGACAAGGCTATTTACCTGTCAGGTGAGCACTTTTCTTGGGAAATACAATGCCTCAAGTTTGCAGTTCGGATATTGTTTTCATTTGTTTGTCTTGGTTTGTTTTTTTGTTGTTGTTGTTGTTTTGATTTTTACAAAGCGGGCCATATTGGGATAAAAAGGTAGTTGGCTAGTTATCTGTTAATGCTAGCTTTGGCTGAGTAGCTTGGTTTGCTTGGTGTATCCATAGTTTGGAGTGAAAGGCTAATGAAATGCTAGCTAAAAACAATTGTGTTTTTAATAAAATGTACTCAGAATAACAGCAGATCTGCTAGTGTGTGTTTTAGTACAGCTGCATGCTAAACAAGATGATGTAGCACCTAGCTATCATTATCTATTAAGTTGACCGCTCTCTTGTTATGCATAACTTTCAGCTTTATTATCATTTTTCATTGCTTAGTTATATAAAATTCACCTTCAGGTAGTTGTCATAAAGAAGAAAAGTAGTATAGACACCACAATTGATTTTGTGGATTGTTTCTACTTCTACTGTTAAACTAGATATTATAAGAGAGGGTGAGAAGAGCTTATTTTTAGGCCCAGTCTAAGGTGGATATTTAAGGAACTGTATTTTTCATAATTCTTCATCATCTTCATGTTTCACCCTAATGATTTTCTGCCTGGCAGATCAAATCTAATGACATGCCTCTACCTGTTGTAGAAAATGCCTAAATATAATGGTGTTACCTTCTCCTCTTCAGGGTATCGGATGCGTATCGGATCCAGCACTGATAAAAAGGACTCTGGGAAGATCCATGTAGACTTTGCCCAGGCCAGAGATGACCTTTATGAGTGGGAGTGTAAACAGCGCTTACTGGCCAGAGAGGAAAGACACCGCCGCAAGATCCACGAAGACAGACTGCGGCCACCATCTCCCCCTCCGATTGTGCACTACTCTGAACACGAGGTAGCACTGTTAGCAGACAGACTAAAAGGTGAGCACTGGCAACGAGTTTGCAGAGAAAGTGTCATTAGCTTTGCATTGAGAAAGTAATTTCCATCACTATACGACAAGTTTACTGTGCCACAAACTTAGCAGATCAACTGATCTCATTGCTAACTCATATCAGGTGATGAGTCAGCTCTTGATGTTTCTAAAGGGCAAATCTCACACACATGCACACAGAAAAACAACCCCTGCTCCTCCTTTAAAGGCTGTATCCAAATTAATTTTGGTGTGCGTGTGTGTATAATCTCCTGCTTAGGTCACTTGCTGTGATACCCAATAACATGCATGAATTAATTGTCCAGGAAGCTGCACAATTATTGATATTCTTCATCCCTCCGTTTGTAGCCACTGATAAACAACTGTGTTTGATGGCAACAGTATAATGCAGGCAAACAGTGCACAAACACAGGGGAAACACTCAAAGACTGTCCAAGAAGCCATGTTTGCATCAGCCTGTATAGGGATTTCTTGTTTTACAGCAGTGTTTTGTGTGTTGTTGTAAAAACTGCAGTTATTACTCAGCAGTTCTCAGAGAGCTCTGGAGTGACATAAGAAATAGGTTTTGTGACAACAGAGTATCAGATATTTTTTTAAAGGGAGAGAAATAAAAGCAACTGGAGAAGTGGGATTTTAGTTATTAGATTTTCAAGTGTTTATCAAAGATGTCTGCACAGACTGTGAGCTCTCCGCATTCAGTCATCAGTACAAACACTGTGAACAATAAAGGAGACAAACACGATTGAGATGGAGCAAGAACTGCTAAATAAAAGCCTTACCAGAGTTCTCAACAGTGCAAAATAAAACAAAACAGTTGCGCTTTTTTTATGTGTCTTTACCTTTCTCATTAACTTCAGTGGCTTCCTGCTTATTTCTTCTTTTCATGCTTCTAGCAGCTATAATCCAGTAAGATATGCATTATTAAGTAAGCCATTGTAGGATTCTGGAATTCGTTTACAGATTTAATCAAGTCATAAATACATCGTTTTAGGCCCTGTGTTTCCTCTGGAAAGGAAGAAAGAAGATGACTTCTCTGACTTCTTGTACAGCAAAAAACACAACCTCTTATAATTGTCAGACTCTAAGCTGTTTTTTTATGGCAGCAGCAACACAATATGAAGCTTGGAGCTAAATACTGATGTTGATGTTTAACAAACATACTTTGGATGCTAACATTATCTAAAGCAGCGGTCCCCAACCTTTTTTGCGCCACGGACCGATTTATGCCCGACATTATTTTCACGGACGGCCTTTAAGGTGTCGCGGATAAATACAACAAAATAAAACTAGTACCGGTACCAAAAAAAGAAGGTTTATTCATAACACACGTGAAAAGACCCAGGAAAACCGAGTTAACGATAAAAACGATAACAAAATAACACTGAAAACCAATAAAAACCCTGAAAACCATACATTTCACACCTGAGCCTCAACTCTCACGGCCCGGTACCAAACGACTCGCGGACCGGTACCGGTCCGAGGCCCGGGGGTTGGGGACCGCTGATCTAAAGTACCTGTGATGCTGCAGTATTTGTCTTTTTTTCCAAGTTGTATAATAAGATATCCATCAGTTCATTTTGCCGACCATTTCAAAGTCGCAGGATCCTCCCAGCTGTCATAGATGAAGTGTGTGTGTCTATGTGTGCGCTGGGGACTGGAGTAGAAGTCAGATGATCACCAAATTTATCACAGACATAAAGATACTTGGATTGAGCCATGCTGTTAGCATTACTTGATAAAAAAAAACTGGACTAGCTTGAACATACAGTACACAACACCTGGTTACAATGAATGCAAATGTGCTTTCCTGGTCTTACCACTCTCACAGGAAGTTGGTGGACATTTCACTTGTAGCATGTGGCTAATGTTGAGAAAAGGTCCATTTTCATCCAAAATTTGATTTTTTTTTTCTAAGTCATTGGGGGGGAAAGTGACACCAAAGAACAAAGGTAAAATGCAAGTATAAAAATGTGTGACTGTAGGTAAATTGTGGGTAAGATGAAGTAAAGCTAGCAGCAACAAACAGAAAGATAGATTACTATATAAAACAAGAAATAACCAAAGCAACAATCCAAAAACCTTTGACACATGCTCTGTTATCTTTCCTCAACTGGCAAACCCTGCGTGTTGAAGAATCACACTGAGTGCATACCCAGTGTGGTACAATGTAATGAGAAGGGTTTCTGACCATATATATATAATATCCTTCCATCCATCCATCCGTCTTATCACGCTTATCCAGGGCCGGGTCACAGGGACAGCAACCTAAGCAGAGAAGCCCAGATGCCCCTCTTCCCAGCCACCTCCTACAGCTTTTCCGGGCTACACCAAGACATTCCCAGGCCAGCCGAGAGATAATCTCTCCAGCGTGTCCTGGGTCTGCTCCGGGGGCTCCTCCCGGTCATTACCCACAGCTCTTGGCCATAGGTGAGGGTAGGGACGTAGATCAACCACTAAATTGAGAGCTTCGCTTTCAGACTCAGCTCTCTCTTCACCACAATGTACCGAATAGCGTCTGCATCATTGCAGCTGCAGCACCAATCCGTATATATAATATTTATTGTTATATTAACAGAAAATGTGGTGAGAATGCAGTTCAGATGTTGTGTTTGAGTAAAATTTAGCAATCCTTGGTTTGATCTCAGATGTTTCCCATGCTTGACACCAAGTATTTTTTCCAAGCTGTTTTAAACCTGAGTAGAAATGTGCTCCATAAAAGAACGAATCGTGACAATGAATAATTCAGGTGACATTTGAAAGAAAGGTAAAGTCCTCGTTATGCTTCCCTTTTAAAATCAGCCCAGTTTTACTACAGGAGTTACGTTTTTCAAGCCCCCATTTATCTACTGTGTAATGGGATTAATACCACGGACCACTCCCTTTCTTTCTGTACTGTTGCAAACCTGCACCCACCTGCTCCTTCTGCACGTGAGGAGAATTGATGGGAGAGGATGAAGTGTGGGGCTGAGTTGGCAGTGGTTTTGATAAGTGAGAAGTGAGCAATGAGGGGTGTTTGCTGTGAAGGTCACTCTCCTCCTCCTCCTCGTCCTCTTCCACCTCCTCCGTGTTGCCTCCACTCTGCTGTGGCTAATTCTTGTCTCCAGTGATTGAAAGTGTTGCATATTTACAGTAAAAGGCTGTAAATGTTCTCTGTTTATAAAAACAGCGGCGCTGGAATCACTTGCAATTTAGTGCAATTTAATCACATTCAGATCCAGCGCACTGCTTATTACTGTTATTGCCTTCATGCATTGTGATGACCTTCATGTTGTCTCAGATTGAGCAGGCAAACTAAACATTAGCATCTAGTGTTATTGTTATATTTTCTGTGTTTCGACCTAAACCCATCTTTAATGTGCGGTCAGATCCACTGCAGGCATCATTTAAATAAAGCATGAAAGAGAAGAAAGTCAAAATCTTGACTGTAATAACTCCCACACAAAAAGAAATAATAACATCACCTCATGTCGTACTGTGACCTTTGTGCCAATAAAGTGTTGCTGAGAAACACATTACCACCATCAGTGGGAATCAGATATATCTTATTTCCATGGGAACTGGTAAAAACCCTCATGGTCCTTGCTTCGTGCAACAATAGATCCAGATGATTTGAATTACTCAAACTGATGCACATAGTCGGTGTTATAAGGTACAGACAGACATATCTGTTCTTTCTAAATCTGCTTTATTGATCCAAGTTTGAGTTGCTGTTCTGAACCCATTTTTACATCTATCTCAGATAGTCATTAAAGGTAAGTCTCAATGTCAGACCTGTCATTGAAGTTTTCTTCTTCACAGAACAGACTGTACCATCAAGGTGTTTGTTTGTTTTTTACATCTAACACTTTTTTTTACTTTTTTTTTTTTTACTTTTATGGGACAGGGATAGCTCAGTAGGTAGAGTGGTTGCCCCGTGATCGGAAGGTTGGGGGTTCGACTCCACTGAACAGCTACCCTGAGGTACCCCTGAGCAAGGTACCGTCTCTACACGCTGCTCCCCGGGGCGCTGCATTGGTGGCTGCCCACTGCTTCACTGGGTGAATGGGTTAAATGCAGGGGAGTAATTTCCCTGCGGGGACTAACACATTATAAAAAGTAAAAAAAAAAGACTGTACCATCAAGGTGTTTTTTGTTTTTTTTTACATCTAACACTGCATCCATCTGTTCATCCATCCACGTTTTCATTGTATATTTGCAAAGCGAATGAGAGAAGTTCCAGATAGAGCTCTGTGCAAACTGCCTTTTGTGTTTTTTATGATGTTTATAGGTTAGAGTTGGTGCTGAAATATGGAACAGAAATGATTTAAATATAGAGCATTATACAGAAAATAATCAGATCTTTTAGAAACTTTTAGTAAATCACAAACAAACACGATCCTATCAGTTAATCTGTTGAAGTCATATGTAAGTGTTGTGACATGACAAGGATGGTCTCTGAGACATGAAATCATCAAATGCCAGCAGATTATCTCTGCTTCCCAGCCACCTCCTCCAGCTTTTAATCACTAAGGCGTGACAACAGCAATCCCATAAGAAAAAGAATCACAAGCTTTCACATTTAGTTCCTTTCAAGCAAACTTGGTATATGAAGACACATAGCAGCAGTCCAGTCGCAAGTGCATTGTTATCAAATGAAGCATCAAAACTCTGTCTTCCAAAATCAGCTTTACAGTGATCAGGGATTTATTATATTAAGAATAAATAATAGCACTTTTTAAACAGGATTCCTTTCTGCCTTTTCTATGTCTGCCATTTTCTGTGTTTATCTGTGGCTCTGTTCTATCTCTCTGGAAAACCAGCAGCATGTTGCTTCTGTTTGCTCCAGAATCTCCAGTTTATCTACAAAACCCAAACCTCAGCCTCAGTGTAGTGTTCCCATCCATCCTTTAATACCTAACATAAACAAGCATGTTTTCTCTCTGAATAACCCTTTTCAATTCATTCTTCACCTCAAACAGCAGGGGAAATACATTTCCATTATTCCCCCGCTCGTCCCTGTTCAGCAGCGCTTCATTGTGCTCGCTGTAATGTGACTGTAATCTGCTGCTGTGTATGAATGGGGCTTTATCAGAGTGGGGGAAAGTGTCTTCTTACAGGTTGTGTTGCACTGGGTATTGAGCTCATTAAATGCTCTCTAATTCACTCTCTTCTGCCGTCGTCCGCGGCTCCGTGGCACCATTCAATTATTATTCAAATGGAAGCGAATGCACTCGACGGAAGCCTGCCGAGACGCCGCAGTTTTTGTGACTGAGACCGAGCGCTGCTTAAGGTTGTGCTTGAAAAAGTTGAAAATCAAAAATGCATTTTGTGTTCAGCGGCTGTGACGTGGCTCACAGACCCGTGAACGGTGAAGGCCTCCAGAGGAGGAATTTAGTCCCCAGTAACTGCTCCATTGTTTATTTAGGCTGAGTGAATGTTAAAGGTCCCATGAAACGGCTTTCACATCATACTCTTCAGTCACCATTTGGTGTGATGTACCAAGACACGGCGTGCTGGGGGAGAGACTTGGAGTCCAAAGAGATTTTAGTATTGTGAATGTATAAATTTTAAAGCAGCTGTAATGCTTTTTCTCTCAAATTAAAATGTAAAAAAACATCTGTCTATCAAAAGTGACTTTGGTCGGGAGTTCTCGACTTCAGGAGAATATCCCTCAGCCGTCACCTAGAGCTGTCAAGTTGGGCTTTGCCATCAAGGAATTAAAAGCAGTTTGGATATGACTATTGAGGACAGGCAAGTGCTTGGAGCGTCTGTGTTGAGACTGATAAAGTGTTGAGCCTGAGTCTTGACACAGCTCTTGTTTCAGGAGTGGCACCTCACGACTACCCCACATATCTACTACAGAAGCATCCCATTATGTAGGCAGGCAGGCAGGCTGGCGACGTGAACACCCAAGTTTGTGAGTGCAGTAACTCGAGAATGAACTGGCGCAGGAGTTTCAAATTGATACCATAGGAGCATCTACTAAAAATCTCATACAAGTTCAAATCTCTGTGACCTCACCCTCAAGGTCAGAGGTCAAGCTATCTAAAAACAAGGCAATTATCAGGGAACCGTGAAAGATGCTGAAAGCAATGGAAAGAAATAGTATACCTTAGTTCTGTACCATTCATTCTTCCAGGACACTTGCATGTCCATCTGAAGTGCAGGGCTACAACTCCACTCTACACTGAATATGTATGGGGGAAATGAATGAGAAATGTACTTACACAACACAGTTTTATTCACCTTGAAGGACCCCTGCCGTTGAGGTCATAGTTGGGATTTAGATCAATTTCTTGCATATAACAGCTGATTAAAGAAGATAAGACAAACAGTAGTTATCAGTAAGATACAGATACAGACCTCCGCCTTTGATACTGTGGACCATCATATTCTGCTACATAGGCTGAGACACTGGGTGGGTATATCAGGGGCTGCTTTGGACTGGTTTGAATCCTATTTGCATGAACGATCCTTTTCTGTGGCTACCTCTAGTTCCTCTTCTACTTTTCTTGCCTATGGTGTGCCACAAGGTTCAGTTTTGGGGCCTTTATTGTTCTTGCTGTATTTACTTCCTCTTCAACACTTATTGAGCACAGTTATATATCTCCTTTAAGCCCCATGATGTTTCCAAGCTACAGATTTTGCATAAGTGCATAGACTCCATTAGAGGTTGGATGGCTGGAAACTTTCTTCAACTAAATGAGGAGAAGACTGAAGTCTTTGTGCTCCTAAAAATTTTGTATCTAGTGTTATGAAAAACTTGGGTCCACTTGCTACATTTGCCAAACCGTCTATCAGGAGCCTTGGTGTTACTATTGACTCAGATCTGACTTTGGATGCTCATGTAAAATCTTTGGTTCGCTCCTGTTTTTATCACTTGAGAAACATTGCTAAGCTGAGTCCCATTGTATCGCGCTCCGAATTAGAAATTGTCATTCATGCATTTGTTTCATCTCGTCTGGATTATTGTAATTCTTTGTTTACTTGTTTATGTAAAGCCTCTTTGGAGCATCTGCAAGTTGTTCAGAACGCTGCTGCAAAGCTTCTGACCAAGTCCTCCAAGTTTTCCCATGTTACACCCCTGCTGATTCAGCTGCACTGGCTCCCTGTTAAATTCAGAATCCACTTTAAGGTTTTGACCTTGACTTTCAGGGCTCTGCATGGACAAGCACCAACATATATAAGTGAACTTTTACATCCATACATTCCCAGCAGGTGCCTGAGGTCATGTGACCAGGGCTTGCTTGCTGTCCAACACACGAGGCTGAAAACAAAAGGCGACAAAGCATTTGTAACTGTGGCCCCCAGATTATGGAACTCTCTCCCTTTGAGCCTGAGATCTGTGGACTCCGTGGTTGCTTTTAAAAAACAGCTAAAAACTCATCTTTTTAAACTTGCTTTTGGTTGAATTTTTATTTTTAGGTTTTAGCTTCTGTGAAGCACTCTGTGGTTTTTATCTTGAAAGGTGCTATATAAATAAAATTTTACTTACTTTTACTTACTTACAAACATTTTGTCATCATGTGAAAGCTGCACTTGTGGTGCACTGGTGAGCACAGTTGCCTCACAAGCAAAGATTTGAATCTCCTGGTTAGAGGGAGGCGTCCTGTGTGAAGTTTCCATGTTCTTCCCTTGGTTTGGGCACTTCAGCTTCTTCCCCGAGTCCAAAGAAATGCTTGTTAGTTTAAGTTGTTATTCCAAATTGTCCAAGCATGTGAGGTAGAGTGTATAAAATATAGCACTGTATGAATATACTTGATGTTTAAATGTGACTTATAGTCATTTTGAATCAGTACGGTTTGAAATGCACTTTATAAGCACAGTCCAGTTCATTTTTAAAAGTATCACTGGTGTTGGTATTGAAAAAAAAGAACTGCCATACCTCTCTTTCTTACCTTTTTCAACTTGTTTCCACAGATGATCATAAGTTCAGTGAGGCCATAGCCATTCTGTTCACCTGGATCGACAGAGGCGAAGTCAACCGCCGCACCGCCAATCACTTCTACTCTATGATCCAGTCGGCCAACAGCCACGTTAGACGACTGATGAGTGAGAAAGCTCAGCATGAAGAGGAGTTGGAGCGTGCCAAAGAGGCCTTCAAGAATGCCCTGCTGGCTATATTAAATCAGTGTAAGGACGCTTTCATATTTTACACACTTAAAGACGTACTGAAAAAACTTCCAGACAAAGGACGTCTCACGTGAGAAGTTTTTGCCGTTGTAAGTGTAAGCTGTACAGGTAAGTTCAACCAGTGGTTTTCTCTTCACACTGCAGGTAGCAAGTTTCATTCTGTTTCACCAGTTTTAAGAGAACCATGAACTAGAGACAATCATATGATTGGATAACAGCCATCAATCAACTGCACCTTCAGTTTAATCAGTTAAGTCAATCGATTCATGTAGGATGTTTAAACACATAAGACTTTGGCTAAAGTGCTGTATATTAAGCACCTGAGACTGAACAGTACTACTTTTTTAGGTGAAAACCAGTTAATAGATATCCACTTTTGACCTCGTGCCACCACGTGTGCCGTCAGTGTGAGCTTACTCCTGATTGCAGTCTCTCACACTGCTGCAGGGTGTGGTGCAGTGGCAGATTACGGTGGTGCAGACCATGAAGCCATTTTCACCACATCCATTTCAAAGCCCGTCTTGATGCAAGTCATTTACTCTGTGAGCATCTCGGCCCAGTCTCCATGACAACACTCCCCGATCTCTCTCACCATCAGCTCCATTATCTTCGGCGCGCTGTGCAGTGGTGATTAGGTCAGTCGCACAGAGGTTTCAGAGTCAGTAGCATGAGTGCGCCCTGACCTTTTCACAGGCTGCCTTCAAAAAATGCCAACACACACACTGAGTGATAACCACAGCATGCTAATGCTACTCTGAAACAGCACTGGTTAAATAGCACCCATTCACTGACACTTAGCTAAGTCTGCAATTAAAGCTGCATTAGGTGAATTTTGACCACTAGAAGGCAGTGTATTTACAAAAACACGATAATCACTTGTTGTGTCCAGCAGCAACAGACACAACCACTGAAATGGAAAGGAATCCATGTCCACCTGATGTCGTACATTTGCTCTAGTTTTATCTCAGTTTTGGTCTTCACCACCTCCCAAGGAAAGTATGTGTATAACACAACCCTTAACTCCTCCACTGTTACCAGGTAACATACATAACAGTAACTTTACCTTCTAATTCCTAGAATCCTATCTCCTAGAAGGAGTTAACCTGAAACAGTTAACCAAGTGAACTTGTATGTTAATTGAAACCTATTTTAATAATAGCTAAGGCTGATCATCTGCTAATATGTAATGCTTTTAAGATTTCTGACACTCAGATACGATCTAAACATCGCCAATGAGAGAAGTATGTGAAATAAAGTGTGCAAAGGTAATATATTTCACATGAGCAGCAAGAAGTATGCACAGAACCAAAACTAGGAGCTGAAAGGGTCAAAAATATCACTTAATGCACATTTAATCCGATGTTACGTTCAGAAAAAGGCATATTTGGCGTCGTTTCACGGTTCGTGTTCATTTGTAAATAAGGTGAGTGAGAAAATGGACAGTTTTACTGTTTTTGTCTTTTTGTCAGTAGTTCTTCTGTGATATGTGAAAAGGCTAAATCTGACATTGGTATAGGTTCATTCAGGTTTGGCAAAGTAAAGTTATGTCGTTACTGGAAGTGTTTGGCCACAAATCAAATGTCAGAGCAACAGAAAAAATGCAAGGCAGCATATTCATGCAGAATGGAAGTGTGTCTCTTCTGATTGGATGTTACAAAGTTATAGACAATCCTCCCCAATCATCCAGTAATTTCTTGCACACAGATTGATCCCATTATAGCTTCTCCTTAACATTAAACATGTAATATCCCATGTGACATGTCTACATTTCTGATGGAGTCTAAAATTCACAGTCCATTCTGGATAAATGTTGCCTTTGTCAGTCCAGTGGGAAGTGAAGCTGCAGGTGATGAGATGTAAGTACAGAGCACTGGCCAGGAGAGAGACCTGCTCATCACATGACACACATTTTAGATGAATTCTTTTAAACTTTTAGAGGATGGTTCTGGTTTATCTTTTCCTATTTGACATGCATTTGTCTGTAAAGGCTGTGCTAATACATATTTCCTCACCACCTCCGAGATTCAAGGAAACAAGGACTCATGCAAAACATTCTCCAGCTGCCAGTCTAAGAGTCTCCCGCAGCTTTACAGACAGCCCTGAAAATTGCATATTAGCTTGTGCACATGTGTGAAGATATGGATAGCTTCCCATGAATCAAATGGCACAGAGAAGATAAACACTGCTTGATGTTTATTGACCAGCACTACAGCTGGATGACAAAGACTCCAGTTGTGGCTAATTGCTCTGCAAGTTGACTGAAGCATGATTCGGAGACATCAACTGGGGTTAATTATCCAACACAATCGTAACTTGTTCTCTCAGCCATGACAGTAATTTCGGCCCATAGTGGCTCCAGGAATGTGGCCAGGAGCCGGTGTTTGTTGCCAGTGGGACACATGCATGGTAGCTTTTTTATATCATGTGGAAAGCATCCACATGTCAGACACTTTTCTTCAGCTGAAAGTGAAACAAAGTCTGCAGGACGCCAGTGTTGATAGGCGCTGCAAGGGATCACGCCTTTTAGCAGACACATGCATTTTCCATCTGGTCTTGTGTTTTGCATCCAGCCAGTTGCCTTGGATTTAGATCTCTATGTGGTCACCCTTAACAGCCATTCCAGGCTGTTCCGTCAGACTAAGACAAGCTTTTGAAATCACTCATGTAAAAACATGTTTGCAAACAATAGGTAAAAAAAAGCAAAGGCACTCTGAGACTTGAGGTATGATGATGAGAACCGTTTAACCCTCTCAGGCTCAAAGTCCTGCAGTGGTACTTCTGAGTAAAAAAAACTCATAAAATATGTATGTGGGTTAATCAGGTTTTAACTGTTGCAAATCTGCAACGCCTGCCTTGAGAGGGTTAATATTTAACCATTATATCGCAAGCCTCAGAGTGCCTTGGATTGTTCGTGTGGTTTGCAGTCTTTATACTGAGCGCTGTTGTTCACTGAGTAGAATCTTTAAAAAAAAAAACACTTTTTCATAAAGCTCAACTGCACTCCAGATTTTTCCTTTTTTTTTCCTTTTTTAAAAAAAAGAGGTTTATTTGGAAAGCTGTACAAGACTCATGCTGCTTGGATAGAAGATTAAAGCCACCTGCCTAACACTACGTAGGTCCCCATCACATCACCAAAACAGCTCAGACTCATCAGGGCTGTGATACAGAACCTCAGGGGGATCCCGCTGTGGCTCGCACAGGATTACAGCAGCTGAACCTTTGTGTTCTGCTTGTTTTAGAGAAGGACCTCCATGAAGCAGGCTAGCTCCAGTGAATCTGGAGCAATTTCTCTCAAGGTCCCAATCCAGGTTGTGAAAATCTCAAAGTATTCCTTCCTTGGCACATTGTCCTGCCGGGAAAGGCAGCTGACATTTGGGAGGGCAATTGCTGTGGTTGGACTGGTCGGTCCGCAACAATAGCAGACGTTATGTTTCAAGGTAACAGCAGAACACTGTACTGAAATAATCAGTGTTATTCACTTTAGTTTAATTAGCATGCCCGAGTTCTTGTTTCCAACAATCTCTTACATGAAGGTGGAGGATAAAAATTCAGTGCATTTAGAGCATTTTGTTTTTCATCTTTCTCATGGCAAAGAAGATTTTTATTCAGTCTTCATCTTTAAGCATAACTCTCTGTTAATTTACTCCAAAGTCATGTAATAATAAGACTTGAATGGTTTTTTTTATTTATTTTGAAATTTATTCCTATTTATTCTTCAGATAAAAGTCTTTCTTTAAAGGAGCACTTTACTCCAAGTACAGTCATCCTGTCATCATCTGCTCACTGAGTCAGGAGTTCAAAAGTATAAATTGGAATCCAGTAAAGTAATATTTGAGATTTTGCATGAAGGCAATTGTGGCTGATTTTGATTAGTTTTTCTTATTGCTTTCTGAAATATGGTAGCATTTCATCTGAGCCCTTGATAGCAGTGAGGAACATCTATGGAAGCTGTTTGGACTGATATGAAACAACCAAGAGGAAAAAAAAAAATCATTTGATAAAGACAAATAGAGCGTAAACCTTCCTGGAGGTTGACTTGAGCAAATGATGTCACAGACTTCAGTTTTGGAGTAAACTGTTCCTTTAACACGAAAGACCTTCGTGGCCTGCCGCTTGTGGTCGGTGCATGTCCACGGTCTCTCCTCTGTCTGCTGTACGAGCCTCAGTCAGTGCTACAACGCTACATAAACGGCTTGTTTTGTCTTGACCCTCCCTCCTCTTCCTCTTCCTCCTCCCCGTTCACCCCAAAGTCGAGCAGATCACCGCCGTTTTCACCGCTGCCACCCGGCAAAAGGCATGGGACCATTTCTCAAAAGCACAGCGCAAGAACATAGACATTTGGCGCAAGCAGTGTGAGGTTGGTATACCTTTGTTTGTTTTTTTCTGTTTTCTCCTCCCACCCTGGCTCACTGCTTTCTTCTCTGCTGTCATTTTTGAGTCCCCAGGAGAGAACTGGCTGATTGACACACAGTCCCGTAGGATTTGTTGTATTCAGTGTCTGGGTTGTTGTTTTGCTGGATGCTTCGCCCTCACAGACAGACAGACGGGCAGACAGCAGCCTCTGATCGCCCGGGCCTCCCTTTATCCCTGCAGCCCCAATGTAAAGCAAAGATCTGATGCCTCCTCGAAAGTGTGAGACGCTGCTATGGCAACACTGCTTTCCAGGGTTAAGTCTCAAATCAATTATTTATCCCAAGTCAAATCTAGAAAACAAGTACGAAGACGAGAATGCTGCACGCGAAAGAGGGAAGACCCGTTCACACGGCAGCACCACAGAGGATTCAGACGTGGAGCAGCCTGTTGGCGCACGTGGAGGTTGTGGGTTTGTTGTTCTGTGGGGGTGAGGGGGTTGAATACACAAACTTAGAATGCAGAAATGGAAAGTGATCGAAGGAAGGATAAAAGTGAAATGTACTTGAATTTGTGTATTTTATTTCAAATCACAAAGGGTCAAAGGGAGTATGTGTTTTTTGTTAGTTTTTGTGTTTTGGCTCCAGCACACAATTTCAAATGATGATTTCTAAGCATTTCCAAGCTTTGAGATTGCACATTCAAGTGTTAGAGTGGGTCGTCTACCTATCAGAAGGTTGGTGGGTGGATCCCTGGCTCCTCTTGTCCATCTGTCAAAGTATCCCTGTGCAAGATATTGAACCCTGAGTTTCCCCTGATGCAACCATCGGCAAGTGAGCACGTGTGAATATTATGCACATGTGCTTAGATAGAGATAAAAGCACTGTATGAATGTGTGTGAGTGGGTGAATTGTAGTACTTAAATTGAATAGACAGGTGCCATGTAAGTGCCAGTGCCTTTGCCAATATTTTATTTTTGAGACCTAAAATAAAACCTAAGACTAACACCAAAAGGAGCTGAAAACAAAGCAAAGTCCAATAAATGACCTAAAGGATAAAAAGCACTTCACTGTCGGAAGCTTTCACGCCACTGGTTTGATGAACACTTCAGATCCTTGTGCAGTCATATGGAAACTTTGCTGGCATTGATACATAAAGCAGAAAAAAAAAAACTTCTATTATACTTTTTTGTTTGTTTGTTTTGTCTTTTCATTTGAGCGTGAACTAGAGATATTTTATTTACATCATCTTGTCTTTATTAACCAACACTAATTGAACCAGTCTCACCCTGTGAGAGCTAGGTTAGGCTCCAGTCCCCCGCTACCCTGAACTTGGTAAACGGAAGATGGATGGATGAATAGGCGGATGGATGGATGTACGGATGGATGCATGAATGGATGGATGAATAGGCGGATGGATGGCTGGATAGGCAGATGGATGCATGGATGGATGCTGTGATTTGGTCCAGGTTGAAAAGCGAATAATGAAAGGCATCCTCTTAGCATGTTTGTATTCTTTCATTTGTCTTTATTTTGGCATTTTATATTTTGGGTAGCCAAAGCGAAAACTGTATGACACACAAGGGTCTTGACTGAGGCATTGGTGTCACCACAGTTAATATTCTGGGTAAGAGGTATTGAATTCCACAGGCTCTCATTCATCTATAGTAAGATTCAGTCCCCTTGTGAGATCTTCCTTTAATGGCTACCGTTCATGGTAAGTCTATATGAATCCATATTTCTACAACAACAGGACTGTCTCTGCTAACTGTTCGGAAACAGGCTGCACATTTTTCCTCAGTGAAGATGGATATTATTCTGTTAGGAAATGGTCTGTGAAATCACAGCCCACAAATGAAAAGCTAATGAATATGGGCGAAAATGGCAGAGATCTGATTCACAGGCAACTTCTGCAGAAGTGAAAGATAATACGACACGCAGGCAAAAGGCTCTCAGTCTATTACATCTCGTGCGTATGTGCTTCGCTTGATGAATGATTAGTTCATGAAAGCAATGGGAATGATGACAATGGAGCTGGGAGGTAGGCCGCAAAATGTTTTTATTGCAACAATGTGACGGCTGAGTTGCCACCATAAACTGGATGTAGCCACCACAGTGCCACGCATCAGTGCAGCCAAAATCCAATTTTAACCCTTTCCGATATCTGAATGGACGTTTTGTGGTAAAAAATTCAGTTCACTTCAATTCAAATCAATTCAAGGCACTTAATATAGTAAAGACCCTACAATAATACAGAGAAGGAAACCCCAACAACCATATGACCCCTTTTGAGCAAGCGTTTTGGCAACAGTGGGAAGGAGAAACTCCCTTTTAAGGAGGAAACAGGATAGATGGCCTCCCCTCCCCCTCCAGCAGACCCTGGATCTGCTAGAGGGGGAGGGGCAACCATCTGCCTGGTTGGGGGTGAGGGGAGGAGGACAGGACAAAGACATGCTGGGGAAGAGAGCCACAGATTAAATTCACCCACAGTTGTTATTGAATGACATTCATTTGTATTATTGCCGGTTAACAACAACATACTGTTGTAATAATTAAAGTATAAAATAATATAAAACAAAGTGGTATAATTGACACTGGCTGTTCTGTGCTGTAAAAAGCATGTTAAACTCAGAGAACCAATAAAACAGCAGGATACATGAGTGACTGAGTGAGCTACACATCGAGAATGCTAGACATAGCCTCACACTTAAAATAGGAAAAGCACACACACTCTTATTTATTAGAGTATGTCTTTATTGGGTGGTTTGTTTTTTTATCCTGGTTTTATTGTGAATTTAAAGCCCAAAGGAAGTGCATCAAACTACACCAGCTCAAAGTTTGGAAGTGTTTCAGTGCATAAAAGAAGCTTCTTATAACTTCAGAGGTGGCTGCGAGTTTGTTTTAAAGTTTTCTTTAGCATCAAAGCAATCTGTTTGTACATCTGTGGCTGAAAGGCAGATGCATAGAACTGTAACCATGGAACAGAGAAGAATGCATTGAGTTGACACAGATAACTTCTAAGAATGTTTGGAAACCTTTTAGACCGCAAACACAGCCTTTCTGCCCCAACTTGTTACAAATACGACACTTGTAACGGCATGCGTGTGATGTAATTGCTAACAGGACATCCCATTTCTTCACGAGTGAGCTGAGGACCGCTGTTGCTCTGTGTCTCTGCTGGCTGTAATGTTTTAGGAGCTGAGGAACGCCCACAGCGAAGAGATCATGGGCATCAGACGGGAAGAGGAGATGGAGATGTCGGATGACGAGTCGGATGAAAGTCCTTGCAAGAAGATGCGCACTGAGGAAAATGGTAATAATATCACCTTTCAAATCACACATTAAATGACTAAAAGTGTGAATTTGAGGCCTCCGGCTAGAGATGATGATGGATGATGAAAACGTGCCAATTTTTTCCCCTGATTCTCTGTCACTCCTGTTTGTGCTTTGCTTTGTCTCAGCCACACGCAAAAGTGTGAACACTGAAAGTAAAATAGTTTTTTTCTGAGATTAATTCTGTCTTTGAGACGTCCAGATTCTAGAAACACCTTTTTTTTCACTGGTCCCCCGATTTGGTGCTCTGCTCGCAAGAGCTCCTCAGGATCTTTGAGTTTATGTGATTTAGACAAGCTGGTTTATTTGTGTGGCACTTTAACCAATAAAAAGTCACAAACTCTTGTGCAGCAAACAGAATAGCTCAAGCTGGGTTTACTCGAACACGTGTAAAGGCAGTTTTTATTTAAACCAGCCTTTAAAAAGAAATTTCTGACAAGAGACTTTGCAGCCTGTGCAGCATTAAATCTGCTGTTCATATAACCCTTCAATTATAAAAACAAACCAAAGCAGGATAAAGTTGTGGGGACATCACTGATGTGGACCCTGAATGAGATGCTCATGTTCATTTCTTCTTTTTTTTAACAACACAAGGCCTTTCCATTGTTTCTTTCTCTCTCCTTTTTGCCTTTCTCATCCACTTGTTTCTTATTTTCCTACTCTCATCTCCTCCCTTTCCTCCCTCACCTTTCCGGATCCCGCCTTTCTTCCCTCTCTCCTCCCGCAGGAGTGTGTGATCAGACTCAGGCCTCTCTGAAGGAGGAGAACGACTCCCTGCGCTGGCAGCTGGACGCCTACAGGAACGAGGTGGAGCTCCTGAGGAAGGAGCAGAGCAGAGCCAGCCGCCCAGAAGACGATCACTCGCACACACACCCTCACAGCCCAGAGGCTCAGATCCAGCTGCTGCAGCAGAGCATGCACAGCATGCAGCAGGTTTGTTTGTCTGCCTGCACATCACATTTTCATGGTTCTCAGAAGTGACTATAATCCTTTTAATCGTACTTTTAGCTTAGGAAATCCCTCTGATCTCTGCTGATAGTCAAACTTTACATAACTTTGAGTCACACCTTTCATGAAAATTATTGCAATAATATGTAATCTGCCATTTATGGCTGTTCAGCTTTGCTTTTAAATATCTTTTTTATGCCTTCTATTGGAAGACGTTTGCTCTAAATTGAAAACATTAAAATGTATTTGCTGCTTAAACCCTAGGCTGTTTATAAAAACAAACAGAGGAGCATCCCCGTGTTCAATCATTAAGACCTCCACAACCACGAGGACAAAGTAAACAGTGTTGGCCATAATGGTTCAATAACAGTCGGAAGAATATATTACAGTAAGATTTCTTGTTACCGTCACCAGGTCAGCGTGATTCCCAATTTCACTTCTGCTTAATCAATACTGTAAATTAGTGAATGAATAATGGCCTATAATAATGAAGAAATGAACACTGGTGCTGCTGAACGTGTTCTAAACATTTCTCTACAATGAATTTTGATGCAGCAGAACTGAAGACAACAGTTTGTGTTACTCTCGCTGCTGCTTCTGCAGATTCTTCATTAAATGTTCCACGGCAACCATCTAAGTCAGGCCTCCGGGGCAGATGCTCTCTATTTGTATTTTTTAAGAAAAAAGAAGGAAACTATTCGTTAGGCAGGTAAACAATTTATTTTCTTACTAACAAAAACTGCTTTTCTTAATTTGAGCAGTTACAGGTTACAGATCCTCTTGATAATCGGCAAATACAGATTTTAGATGATATTTTACTTGAATTCTGCTTTTGGGAGAAACCACAGTAGTGCGGCGGTCCCGGGTTTGAGTCTGCTCTTCCCGTGCCTGTCTGGGTTTTGTCCAGGTACTCTGGCTTTCTCCCAGAGTCCAAAGACAGCATATGACAGCTGGGATAGCCCCTAAAATCTTTCCTTTAAGATAAAGTGAATGATTGCGGCTAACTTTCTATCTAATTTTTTAGCGTCTTATTAAGCTATTTAGGATATTTAATAGTCTCTCTAGGGCTCTCTCACAGTTTTTCATCATTGCTACGACACATTTGCTGAAAACTTTCCACATGTTTCTCGAAGCCCAGTTTTCAAGCTATAATCCCAAAATGCTGCAAATATGCACATCAAAGCTTTTTCTGTGTTCGCAACCAAACTGTGTTCAGATCGCACGAGCAGCCTTTACAGCTCATAAAACTACTTAACATTTGTTAACTTCTCCATCAAAATAGTTTAAAAACAGTGTTGAAATTTAACTCACTAACCTCCCTCGTGTGATTGCTTTCAAATTCCAAAGAAATTGCAAGTAGTTAAAAAAAAATCCTTGATTCAGTTCCTCAAATTTCATCTGAAATGTTTGCTCCTGCTCGTCCCCTTCCACCTCCTCCTTTGCCTTCTCTTCCAACACCTTTTATGTGCAGTCGTCCTCCTCTGCCTCTCACATTGTTTCCATCCACATCAGCCCTTCCTGGCTGTACACTCTGAACCAGCATACAATCACATCATTATCCAACAAGTGCAAACAATTATGAGTTACATCTGCTCTCTAACCATGTTTAACTTCTGCCAACTGTGATTACTGTTAAGCATCAACATTGAAAACATGTTTAGTGTTTTATAAAAACAGTAAATAAATCATGAAAGGTTTTGCTAAAAGAATGATTGATCCAATAAACGGGTATAGGAATTTGTTTTGTTTTGGGTTTTTTTTGGGGGGGGGGTTGGTTAAGATTTCAGAGGAATCTTAACACAGATAGGTATAACAGTGCAAGGACTAGATGGTAGTGAAGCTTGACCAACCATCCAAAGCATCGGACAACAGGAGAGAACAAGAGAGGCTGGACGAAGGTGTCGAACTCCAAGCTGTGATCCATCACAGCTGATTTAAATGTCAGATTACCTTCTCAACATGTCTTGAAGTTCTCCAGAGGCCTGGTAATGAGCTAATCATGTGATTCAGGTGTGTTGACCCCGGGTGATATCTAAAACCTGCAGGATACCGGCTTTCGAGGCCTGGAGTTCAACACCCCTGGTTTAGCAGATGGTAGTTAGATCTGTTATGATGTATGGCATACACTGTATGCTCTGGAGATGATGGCACTGACTAAAAAATGTAGGTCGCAGAACTAAAAATGTTACGATTTTCATTGTGGGACAGGATTAGAAGTGAGTACATCAGAAGGACAGCTTAAGTATGGAAACAAAGTCAGGGACTCAAGGCTGAGATGGTTTGGATATGTGCAGAGGAGGGGTGCTAGATATTCTGGCCAAAGGATGCTGAAGATGGAGCTGGTGGAGGGTGACAAAGGAGGATGCTCAGGATAGGGTGAGATGGATGCAGATCAACCACTGTTGTGACCTTTAAAGGAGCAGCTACAGAAGAGGATTAGGGCCACTGGGAGAAAAAAGTGGGCATGTCTTTTTTTTTTCTTCTTCTCCAGAATTCTGAGGGGAAAAAGTCAGAATTCTGACCTTTTTTTTTCTCAGAATTCTGCTGATACAGACCAGCTACTTTTGTAAAATCTGAGGAATGTGTCTTTAAAAATGACTTGAATAATGAAACCCATGAGCTCAAGTCTTTTTAGTGCTTGCAAGAAAGCATTTTTTTTTTTTTGATCAGAAAAGAGCAGGAAGCGTAGCATACACAAGCAAACACAGAAAAACCAACAACCAAACAGTGTTTTCCTTTGCTGAGTTCTCCCACTATTCCTCACTTTACTTTTTTCATGGAGCACAGTAAGCTGTGTCGGAGCACGCAGCTCGTTTGCCACGAGTTAGCCTGATTAAACTTGACTTCCTGTCTTTCTCAATCTAAACTGACAGCACTGATAAAATGAGGCACATTGGAGACAACCACCATCATATAGACACACACGCACACACTGCCCTGCTGGCTCATTGTAAATGTGCTGCTTACTTGACTTCTTAGCAGTGTGAGGGGAAACTCACACTGCTATCGCTTCTCATTTGTCATGCAGCGTTGTTTTTTTTATTCCCCCTCAGTGCAGATGATCAGCTGTGACAAACAAAATAAGTGCTTTGCTTCATATACTTCATCACAGCGTTAAGATGACATCGCATCATGCAAAAAATATGAACGCGTACACGATGAATGAAACAGTCAGTTCATTTAAATAATAAACATCTTATTGTGATAAAAAGACTAAAATCAGAATAAAAGTGGCTTCAGCACTAGGAGAATAATAAGATGACAAAGTGTTGAGTGTAGGTAAAGGGAGCAGGCAGATAAAAACCTCTCACAACACTCACTGACAGCTGCAGCCTCAAGTCAAAGTTCTGTTTTCTCATCTTCTAAGACATGAAGCAAGACGTCCTACAGCTTCTTGGCATCTTGGCTTTCTTTTATTTAGTAGAAGTAAACATCATTTCCTTTTTCCTCCATGTTCAAATTAATGACTTTAACCAGCAAACCTTCAGCAACTGAAAAACAAGCTAATGTTAACCTGAAACTCTCTGAAGTCATCCTGGAAATGCAGAGCTGTGAACAGTAAAGTCACAAAACAGTTTCTCCTGCAGTAAGACTGCACATCTAAATATGTCCTGATGCCAGTTTTAGTTTTCAGATTTATTTACATGGCACCAAATAACAACAGCAGTCGTCTCACAGAAGCCAGAAATTTACTCTATAGCAGGGATGTCAATTCATTTTTCACTGGGGGCCACATAAAGCGAACTTTGACCAGTAAAACTCCCTCCTCTGTAAGACATAAATGTAAAAAACTACAGAAAGCACTCTGGTACCTCATTGGCCAGACTGCACTGTAATTATGCAACAGAAAATTCAATAATCACTTTTTATTTTTTTTACTGTGGACACAGCCTCTACAGTAGACAGTAGAAAAATGTGAAATATATTTAAAAGTCCAAAATTGATGGTTTCCATTACATTTTCCAGCAGCGTCTATTCTTTAACAGGGTGATTCTGGCCCCTGGGCCTTATGTTTGACCACTGCATTTTGAGCTGCACAGCTGCAACTCAGTTGGAAATGTGAGAGCCAGGTGCTTGGTAGGCACTCAGACCCCTTGAACTTAAAGTTTTCCATTAACTTTTTCTCCCATAAAGATGACATTTGATGACCTCCCCGGTACCTCTAAATAACAAGATTTGACATATATATCAGCCCCAATATATATTGCGGTGTCAAATCTTGTTATTTAGAGGTACCTGGGAGGTACCTGTGATTATTAAATTGATATTGTTAAGTTAAATGTGTATCTGTGATTGTCTTCCAGCAACTTCTGAACCTACAAGAGAAGCTATCGAGCAAGGAAACTGAGCTGGAGCAGGCAAGAGAAGAGCACCGCTACCTGGAGGGGGAGGTACTCAGCCTCAGAGACAAGGTGTGCGCCAATTAGTATTCACCCTCCATTACTGGCAACCAAATTTAAAGTAGTCATCCATCCATCCATCCATGCATCCATCCTCCCTCTTCTCCTTATCTTAATCAGGGCTGCAGTTAAAGTAATTTTTAGAAAATAAAGTAGTAAGACGTTCCAGGGACATGATGATGTACAACTCTGTTACGCTTGACTGGATTCCTTTTGTTTGGACTCCTTATAGTCAGCCCTGTGTCTACATAGCAATGACCAGACATGTTTGTCTTTTTCAGGCTTAATGCCATTAAGTCCTTTGACTGCTTCACACTTTTTTTAATCAGGTATTTCACACAGAACACAGCAGTAATCCAGCAAGAACACCGCTGTAGCGTTCAGTCTTCATGTTCTCATGAAGTGCATTTTCCGGTCTCTCTGTTGTGGCTCTTTCATGTGCGGTATACTGAAAAAGCACACTGCAACACACACAGAAGCTTAAATTCATGGAGGGGATGAAGGGGGTTGGAAGGACATAAGTGCTGCTATGGCAACAGCCCCGCCAGGATGTTATTCTGCGGTCTCAAGCTGAGAGGTGACTGGCCAAGATGGCATGTGTGTGGTTTATAAATACCTGCGGACCAAGTGTTAGAAACTGCAAAATACTCTCTGCGTATTACCCATTAGAAATTATAAATATCGATTTATTTATTTATTTACAGCGAAAGTAACGTTACAGTATTTATTCCTCTGCTAAAGGCCTTTCACTGACAGTAAATCATCCACACACTGCATCTTGTGTGATTATTATTATTATGTGTCAGACAAGTAAGCAAAACCTGGTTTAGTGTACTTACTAACCGCTATCTGCTAGCTAAGCATTGACAGCTCACAACAAACACCGAAGAACTGAACCGTGGGACTCCTGAATGTAACACAGAGCACACAACGCTGGAGTTAATGATGCTTCACCTTTAGTGGGGCAGGTGCACCTTCACACCACTGCCTCGCTCACCCCTTCACAATAATGCCCTCTCACAGCAGTTCTGTTTGGACATATATGTGAAACCACAGCATTCCAAGTGTAACATCTAGAGGTTTTGAGAACTGGACTTCAGTCAGTTTCACTTTCACTCTCATCTCATAGCAACAGTATATGTCAAGGTCAACAGTCTGAGATATGGGGAGGTGTAAGGCTGAGCCATTAATACCAGATTTTTGTGGCTGCTTCAACTTATTTGAAACATCTCCAGAAACACAGAAATGTTTATTTGGTACTCACAAGAAGGATGAACTATGAACGACCAAAGAAACTCAGTCGGATCTGTGGTGGCATCGAATCAGCTGCTTTGATGTTCTCGCCTCATCTTTTCTGACTGTTGGCTTGACTGACCCCCACACTCACCTGACCTAAATCCAATGGAACACCTATTATTGTTGTGGTATTGAGATCTGAGATTTCAAAGTGTTCCTTTAAATTTTTTGAGCAGTGTATGTATAGACAAACGAATTTATTTTGGCTATCCGTTGGTTCTTTGCCACATCCCACAGCAACATTACTGCAGGCTGACCTAAGACTTCATAGATGCATACATTCTGCAGGAATAAAAGGGCTGTCAGGGGGAACAGAGGAGGTCTGGGGGAGGAGGAGACACACTTTTTATGTAGTGATTTCACTGCCAAGTTTTACAGACGCTTCACATAGATGAATCCAGTCCGTAGGCAGAGGTGAACAAGCCCGGTCGGAGGTAACAGCACGTAAATCAGCTGCTCATCTGTACTTCAGCTCGCACCTGTATACCACAGGAGCTTTTGTGGGGGAAGTTTTTGAGACAATCCAAATGAAGTAGGTGCTTCAGGTGCTTCATACCTGAGGAACAGTGACAGCCTGGATTGCCCAAACCTCTTTAGAGTTCACACGAGGAGCAGGAAGAGTCTGAAACAGTGGCAGCTGCATGGCTAATGCAGTTTTTGGGAGATACTTTGTTTACACTGCATATCTCTTGCACAGACATTATGCTGGACTCACACAAACCGCAAATTAATCACCTAGCCCACATTATCCTCACATACTTTTCCCATGCACATGAGTTGTGTCCCTTTTAGAGCATCAAATCTCCAAAACATGACTGACTTTTGCCCAGAAACTGTTGAGTAAAAGCAGCTGGCTGAAGGTAAGAGAGCTCACGCGGTCATTGTGCGGTTTTGGCTGCAGTAATGAGAAGAAGGTTGCCGGGCTCTGCTGATGAGTGCTCTGTGATGGATAACTGGCAGCGCAGAGTCGAAGCAGCTGTAGGTTATGTTGCGTGTTTGAAGGAGGCAGATACGATGGCGTTGTGCCGGGGATGTAGAAGTGTCTTTAGTCATATTTTATACTTAGAAAACAGAAGGTTTCAAATCAAGGACTGTATTAATAACAGATGATTGTGGGTGTAAATCGCTACCTTTAACTTCTTTTACTGGTCTTTGCTGGAAACTGGGGACCACAGTCTGCTCCATATCGCTGTTTTTCATCTGTCACTACTTATTACGGTCAATTTAAATGCCCCCTTTTAAAATTTTTACTTATTTTCTCTGAGGTTTTTTTTAGCTTTTGTACTTATCTAGCCCATTTAACAGTCCACTGCTGAGTGGGTTACTTTCTGGATGATAAAGTTAGAAGAACGTGGGAAGAGGAGGGAGTTAGATGAGAGGAAACATCGGCCAAGTCTCTGTGGCAGCTCTCTGTAAAGCCTTCCATAACGCCTAATGACCAGTTTGCCATGTCTCTGTTTGTGCACGATAAATACATTTATAATTCTCAAACAGCTATCAGCACAGTGTTTCTTCAGAGTATCCATATAATGGTCTCACAGTCTGCACATTTCCAGCCTGTCCTTCTAACAGACCCATCTATAAAAGAGCAGAAAAAACAGACTCTTTGTTACAAATGTTTTTTCTTCAAACTCTGAGTTTCACTGCGACTCATCAAACACTTTCTGTTTTCTCTCTGTGTGTCTCTGCAGCTGCTGAGCAGTAATGGGGAGACTGTGGAAGGGACCAACGGCGAGCTCCATGAAAAGGTAAAAATTGAAGCCTGAGCTGAAGTCGACTGTCAGGTTGTCAAGCCAAACATGGCCCCGTTCAACAGTTTGAAAAGTAGAGATTTGATGCTTGTGTTTGTGATTCACACAATATCAGCATACTTTTTTTTTTAAAAAAAATGTAAAGACCCAAACAAAGGAAACAGTTGATGAGAGTGAAACATGAGTGAAATCAGGAGAGGTTACAGTCTGTTATTTTGGTCCTCAGCTGTCTCTCACAGCACTTTGTTGCTTCTCAGTGACCCAGTATGTACACATTTACACACAGTGTCTGTATACTGCACATGTCATGGGAGATGGACTATTAGCCTCAAAGATGCTGAAGTGCACACTGATTGAAGTCAGGAGGACACGGACATTTGTATCATGCTACTCTGAGTCGATCTGCATTCACTGTACTATTATCTGAAAATCTGGACCTCCTGAGTGCAACACTGTGATGCCTTTTATTAAATGATGAGGTTTTGCTTGGGTTTTGTGTGCTCTTTGTGTGTTGCAAATATATAGTGCTGATGTCAATGAGATCCAACAAATGTTTCAACAGAAAGCCAGTGGCATTGTTCCTCGTGCTTTTTGGATTAATGTAGAATATATGAACTGATTTAGGATAAATGATTTAGATATTTTCTGAAAGCATAAAGGCAGATGGGAAAACGTTGGGCCACCCAGCAGCTTCTGTTCTCTCAGTTTGCCCCTTGCAAATGCGTAATTGTTAATACCGCGCCAAAAACTATTCAACAAAACACATTCAGTTCTGGACACAACACAAATGCAAAATGCTAACTCATTTCCGGGTGTTTCCCAGCCCTCTGTTATCAGCTTCATGTAGTAATTGGTAGTTAAAGTGTATTTGTACCCTTATGTTTTGGCTCTTTTGTCATACACATGTGTTTTCACAGGGGATCAACGGGTGTGTTCCTTCTCTGTACCACAGCAGAGACCGGAGGACCGAGCTTATCACAAGAGGAGTCATCACTTCAGAAAAAGAGGCTCTGCTTCTTGGTAAATGCTTCTTACTATTACTGGCTGTCAGTTTAGCTATATAACACATGGCTGAAACCAGAGGCGGAGCCAGACATTTGAAACACCCGGGGCTTAGCCCTAAAGGGTAGTATGCATGTGGGATGGGGGTAGAAATGACTGAAAGATTAATAGGCTCTGTTTTGAGTTTTGTTCAAAAAAGAATGACTTCATATAGGAAAAAAATATATCACATATGCAGGACACCTTAAACTAGTTTTTTTTAATTAAGCAGTAAGGCAGAACAAAGTCGGGGCTGTATCAAGACACGAGGACTAAACCCCAATTCAACCAGACCCAGAACTGATCCAGAATTAAAACAGGACTACAACAGTTCAAAATCAGGACTACTGAGGACTTAACCAAGACAGAACCAGAATCAAATCTAGATGATAGTAGCACTAAAAATCATCATAGACCTGCACTACACTTATTTTTTAATTCTACCAAAGTACAATATTTAGATTGAGAAAAGTTTATATAATTATTTAGCCTTGTTGTGCAAACAAGCCTGCATAACTTAATAAATGTAGAATTTGAAAAATAACAAACCTAAAAAGAAACACTAGGTACGAGATACATGAGGACCTATGATACGCTGATACTTTTGGTAAACAACCATTTGACTAACATGTTTGTCTCACCTGCTCTTGTTCATCTCTGTTCCTCTCTCTCCCTCTTTGTGCTGACAATCATCAAATATACAGTTGAAACCAGATATTTATGTACTCTTCAGATAAAAACACTTTTTTAATTGTAACATCAAATTAGACTAAATGTTTATTTTTTTTAGGTTGATAAATATAAAAACATATTTGTTAACTTTAAGAGTAAAGAGAGAAACTATCTGTATTTCTTAATTGTAAATGGCACCAAATTGTATTCAAAATTGAGCCACACTTATGGAGCTCCACAGTTCTTTTCCTGGTGTTTTAGTTGATGTCTCTTGATTTTCCCATGTCACAGAAACAGACTCTGTGTTTTGCCTTATATGCATCCACAGGTGTGCCACCAATTTACTCACATGGACTCTACTAACCTATCAGAAGCTTCTTCAGCTCAGAATGGAATCGTCTGGAGTTTTCTTATTAATTAACAATAAACTTAGTGTATATGTGCTCCTAAATTTGATGAAAGTGATAAAAAATAAACAGCTCTCTCTCTCTTTATTCTGACATTTAACTAATTCAAAAGATGTTTCAATATTTATCCAAAACAAAACAAGTTTACTCTAAATTGATGTTTAACAGTAAAAAAATGTTCTTGTGTTTTCCATAAAGTGTATGCAAATATCTGGTTTAAACTGTGGATATACTGCTGTGTATTGAAATTCCTCTTGTTTTGCATAGAAATATACTGAACAACATACAAAGCATAATATATAAAATAACATTTACCTGAGTTTTTTCTTTGAAAGAACCCTCTAATGTCCATTCTTATATTTCAGTACATAACTGAAACCGATTTAGTCGGGGAGGGTAAGAACTGAAAATATGAAATAAACACACGTAAGCTAAGACTCTAAAAAAAATAGCATTTGTTCGGCTTGTCATTTCGCCATTTGTTGATTCACTTGAAGAGCAAGTAACGTAATATTGGTCAAGTGATCAGTTTGATATCAATCTTTCGTGATGCACCGTCAGAATTTACATTATTTGTACAGTACGAATGATTTGCTTTGGTACCTGGTCAAACTTAGACTCTCCTTAGTATGGCTGGCTCCGTTTCTCCAACAGCGCACACAGGCAGCAGCTGCCCCGCCCTCTCGCTCAGTCGTTTAGTGCCTGAGCTCGGATCATACCAATATCAGGGGGGATTCACGCACAGTTGTAAATTCCCACAGTGTGCACTATGTGCTTCGAATATTGTGTGTACTTTTTGTTTTATACAGTTGTCAGCCAGACATCTAACTATGAAAAAATTACACTCCAGAAGACCCCGGGCTTCTGAAAAAACAACCCGGGCTTAAGCCCAGTAAGCCACCCCCACGCTCCGCCCCTGGCTGAAACGCACTGGTCTGAGTTTGAAAAAATCTCTCAAGTATAGTTATACCACCAAACAAAAATGGCACAAAAAGCATGTTGATCATTTTTCCTCACGCAACAAGCATAGGTTTGGTTCAGTTTGTCCCAAGTGCACCTTTTTTGCTTTCTTCTGAAACTATTTTGGTTTTCATGTGAAGTATGACCCTGATGGACAAAAGTAAAACAGTATGTTGGATGTGCCACGCAATGCTTAATTACATTGGTGGAAACTAGTATGTTAGCGCAGTTAGCTCGTTAACGTGTTGACCGTCCAGCCCCACGCACGGGGCGATCCGCGGTAGCTCGTTGACGGAGATTTGCCGTGTTGTGGCTTTAACGTCATTTCAACGAGATTAACGCTGACAGCACTAGTGGGAACACAACGAATATGACTGCACATTTACTCCGACAGCATCCTAGTGCAAAGACAAGTGGAAGCAGACAAGCACAACAAGCACGCATGCTACAAACTTTACCCGAGTCATTTAGACAGCCGTTAGCACAGGATTCTCCTCATGGGGACCTGATATGTTTAATATGCTGCTGAGAATATAGCCCAGAAGAAGCAGATAGTATAGCTTTTATTTTGGAAAGAGACATTTCTCTGTAATAAACTCTCTTTTCCAAAGATGAGTGATTCCTCAATCAGATATATTTATTTTTTTTTATTACTTTGTTGTTTCAGCAACATTAAATTTAAAAACTGTACTTTTGAGTTAAAATATATGTATAATTTTAATAAATGACAAATTAAAAAGGCATGAACATTTTTTTGTATCGAAAAAATATCGAACCGTGACACCAAAGTATCGAATCGAACCGAACCGTGAATTTTGTGTATCGTTGCACCCCTACAATAAAGCTATCTATAAAATAAAGTATAGAAAAAGAGATATAAATATAAACATAAATATAAAAGGACACAAGTGTAACCACTAATGTTTCTGGGATGTTACTGATATTATAGGTGTACAAATGTGCACACGTTGTGGCGTACAAAGTGACAGAGTGCATTGAGGTATGAATGAGACGACACTGAAATAAAACCCCTTTTGACTTTTTGGTTGAAATCTGTGAGGGTTTTTTTTTATTATTATTTGTTCCAGCAAACAGTGTCAGGAATAACGCAGAAGTTCACTGACAGTATGGTCCTGTTGTACCCAACAGGCAACACTGTGGCCAAATAAGCTCTCAAGAGCACTCACTGCTTAATCTTTTACTCTTTCTCACCTCAGATCGTGAGGCTTCTGCTCTGCAGAGGCTGGACAGCGGAAGGAAAAGAGAGACTTCAGTCAGAAAATTAATCTCCAGTGGATATTATAACCTGAAGTTTTTCCATATCCTTCTTCTTGTTATGTATTTCAGCTGGCATACGAAAGGAACAAAGTGAAAGCTTGCTTACCTCTCCATTACGTTATCAGTGGAAATCACCGGTATAAAAAACCTTTTTACCCACAGAGCAGTTAGGTCTTGGTCTTCTCCTTGGCTCTGTTTTCTTCCAGCCCAGGAAAGATGTAAATCTAATTTGGCTGCTGTGTGAGCAGAGGTGAACGTGTGAGAGCGCAGATTCTTGCTCGGAGTGATTTGTTTCCAGCCTCTGCTCATTCCAAGAAACTCTCCCAGTACACAGCTCAAGGTGGATTATGCGCATAGTTGGATTATGAAAGTCTTTGACTGGAACTTACTGACAGCTTTCATGGCTAATTTAATTTCCAGAGAGACTGTGCAGGCTGTGACGCTCATTCAAGCTACACGTGTGGACAGCAGCACCCTGATTACTTTGTAAGTTCAGCGCACAGCACAGTTCTGAGAGTATTCGGTAGCGGAGCATTAAAGATAACTGAACGTGAGTGCGCAAGAGTGCTTGACACTTAACTCGTCTCAGCTCATACCACCGCTGCCGTGTTAGGCGTAAACATAGCGTCTGCTGTCTGAGAGCTTGGAGAGCTCTCAAACCTTCTTCTGCAGGAGAGACAGAAAAACAAAGTGCCTAAAGCCTGCTGTGGCTCCTTTCTGTTTCTATCTTCTTCTAAAATCAGAGACGTGGATTTCACTCTGTGTTGGGCCCCCATACAGCAGCTGGACACAATTCATTTCTGCTGCCTTTGTTTCCCTCTGTAAAGCCTCGCGTTACCACAGACCATGCAGCAGCGTGGAGAAAAGCACAGGACGATCTGTATTTGTCCACAACAGAGCAGAGCGGGAGGAACAGCAGCACATTTATCTCTCTTAGTGGCGCCAAGAAAATCCAAATATGAAGGAGCGAGGAGGCACAGCTCTCTGTCTTCCTCCCCTGCTGCTGCTGCTGCTGCTGCTGGGAGATTTTCATCAAACAAACACATTTTTAAAGGCATGTGGCCGATTTTCTCACACAGTAAAATCAAATAAGACAATAGAATTTACATTTAGCATTTTAATTTGCATATCAAAACACTGAGTGGAAGTATTTTGAAATGTTATGCTACCTATTCTCCCTGTTTTATGGTTCTTGGGCATATTTGCCTTTACTGGATAGGGAAGACGGGAGAGTCACACACAGTAAATGGTCCCGGGCAGAATCAAGCACAGGTCCGTGCAGCCTTTCAGCATAGGAGGTCACCAGGTGAGCCTTGCAGGGAGAATGCTTCCACATTGACTGGCTTTCTGACTAACTTGAGTTAAGTGGGAGTGGGTTATAGCAGAGGCATTGCGGGAGAGACACAAAGAATCCACAATTCAAATCTACGGGAGAATTGCAGAGTCAGATTCTTTTTGAATGAGTGACCAATGGAACTGAAGGTCATTTATATAACGTTCAAAGTAGCTGACCCAGTAGAGCTCAAGATGGCTGCTCAGTTGCAAGGCTTCTATGTAGAAGGACTTTAGATTATGAAGTCCCCTGACTCTGACTCTTTTTAATTAATGAATTAATTTAGCCTTGAGTTCAGCATTGTTGCTACCGCCATCTTGGTTTTTTAGAACCAGAAGTGACTTGTGTCTAGGTTAGCTAGCTAAGGTGAACCCGAAGACCTTACGTGTGTCCCCATAAAGGTGCTGCATAGGCTGTCCTTCGAAGGCTGGAAGTGTTGGACCGTCTAATTTACCAAATGCTGCTCCCTGCACCTAGCAGCCGTGACAGTAGCAGCTACGGACATTGGGCACAGTGTTGTTTTACAGAATAGAAATAGAAATCTTTATTTAATATTTTTTGTTTTACTTTTACTGGAGAAAACTGAGACCTTTTTTTGGCATGTGATGTATCAGAGACTGAGAGACACCACAGCCATGGGCTGAGTCCTTTTAGCAAACGGTTGCCAGTAAACTAGTTTTGCTAATGTAGCTCATGAGACTAATGTCATTTCATTTTGACAGTATAAATATAATAGATCCAATATTATATTAATTATTTTATTATCATATATTTTATATAATTTTTTAAATGATCTGTGGGTCAGGGTATGAAAGTGTATGTGTGTGTGTGTGTGTGTGCAAGGTGTCTTATTTGTACAAGGGACAGACAGAGGTAGGCTGCACAATTACTGCTAAGTAACATGCAACTCTTAATACTATAATAAGCAAGGTAGGCAAGTCATCCATGTATGTTGAACCTTTTGATATCAGTGTGTGAATGAAGGTGGAGAAAAAAACAGAAGGTTTTCAAGTGACAGTAAATTGTCAGTTTAGATGGTATGTTTGTTGCATTTGCACGTCTGCAAGCAGTCATCGAGAGTCTGGGTGCACACGTAAAAGAATAAATTGGATGCTCATTTCATACAGACTGTATGCGCTGTGTCGTGATGTTACTGTGTTCCACATCTATGGCTCAGTTATTGCTGTGTGGCTGCACAGATTGTTTTCTGCTATTGACTTGTTCAAATAGTCCAACCAAACACAATAAACAAAGGAGCTTTTTTAGCCATCAGTAGGTTTGCCAGCATGCTTTCTTTTGCACATTTGTGGAACATTTCGATACACACACACTCAGTTGTAGCATGTGTTCAAGTTTGTGTCCACTGTTTGAATCACTGTCTGCAGACACAGATGCCGAAGCCACAAATTGCCATGATTCATAAATTAGTCCTGGACTATTTGAAATGCCAAGCCTCAAACTTTAAACATTAAAACCATTTTAAGGCTCCAGTTATACAGCTGCAGCACTCCCTTTCTTTTGAATAAGAGGTCATACACAGAAAAATAGTTTTTTCTTACCTTTTGTGTTGTCTGTAGAAGCTAAACGATGGTCAAAAGTTTTCAAGCACTCATCATGAATGTCAGTAATTTTGAGCTTTTAATGATTTCTTGAACAGTTTTTTTTGTCCACTCTTGGCAGAATTGAGTGTGTTTAAATTAGCTGCTTTCCTGCCATGAATCCAGCTTTTAAGCGTTGTTCACAAATTTTTCAATAGAGTTGAATGTGGGGCTTTGTGAAGGCTTTTCAGATGCATCCTACACACAACAACAACCACCTCAGGTCCTGCCACTTTCAATACAGGGGAGGCATGATGAGCCGATGGAGCTCTGGTGTGTCAGCCTCCTCTGCAGCTGCACCACGAACCACGCACGTACATGTTGTAGTTTCATCAATTTCTCCAAACGCTCCTAAACTTTCCTTTGTATGCTTGTCTCCTCTTATCAGCAGTCAGCCCTATCTTATACATGTAGAAAATATTTCAGTTGTAGTTTGGATTTGTTCATTTTAACTCATTTAACTCATCTAAAGAAGTAACAGGTTTTTTATTTTTTTTGTGCGCTACTTTTAAAACAAGAAGACAAAGATTTGTACCACTTGTATATCGTGACAGTAAATGTACTGTTAGCAGGTGTCTTCCTGAAAAATAACTTGGATCCATAGTAAATACTATGAAACTTATCTGAACCTGCAATTGAAATAGCCTGGACCCAAATGTCATACTGCATTCGTCGATTATGTAGGTTTTTTCTCCTCCCTTTTTCTAAGTTAGAGTTCCTTGGTGCAAGCTTGAAATTTAACTTCCTTTTTTAGTGCACCCACATCCCTGCCCCTCCTTCAGCCTACAGTTCTCTGTGGCACTGTTCCATGTGAGCAGGCCTGGTGGAAGAAATTGAATTAGGCCCGTCTGTAATTGCAAGCGTTTCGCCACATAAATCAAGGAAATAAATATTGGCTGTGCTGGATCCTCCAGGGAACGCCACTCTATTTCTTTACCCTTACCCAGCCCCCACCATCATCCACTCCTTCCCCCCCTCCGCATGACTGCCTACCTTTGCAGGACCTCTCAGAAGTAATCAAGTTGAGAGCAGTTTCTGCTCTGGCCAGCATTTTTATGGGGCTGCTCTGCCATTTGTTTATTGTGCAGCATTTCATGAGGATGCAGATTGGCTGCTCTGCTGGAGCCTGAACCTTTATATCTAAAAGTCACTCTAGTGGATCTTACTTCTTTGTCAGCTCAGTGTGTGTGTGTGTGTGTGTGTGTGTGTGTGCACACGCACATTGGCTTTATTAGTTTGCTAAGCCTGTTCTTGAAGCACTCATGAATACTGATGGTAAATACTAAATATACACACTTGCAGTTTTCAAAGACCACATTTGCCTCACAAATACTGCATTCAGAAATCCAATGACAAATGTTTCTGTCCAAATGTTGAACAAATTTAAAGTAAAATCTGCAAATGAAAATGGGAATGAATGCTCATTGAAATATTTGTATGCATTGTGTGTAATATAAATATGCTGGGGTTTTTTACTGTTCCATCCTTAATTGAGGTTTAGATGTTTCTCTATAGTTTTGTTAACCTTTGATTTACTTACTCATCATCTCTGCCAGTGAGATGTTAGATCGCTCCCATGCTCATATTTTCATTGCACTGAACCGCAGGTTTATCTAATGGCCCTTCTTCTCCGCAGGCATTATATCGACCTTCCTCCATGTCCATCCATTTGGGGCCAACCTCGAGTATCTGTGGTCGTACATACAGAGACTAGACTCCAAGGTAAATGTCATTAAAAAACAACATGAAACATTCAGCTACATTTCTCACTAAACCCTATTAAAGAACACATGACATAGAAAATGTATGTAATACACAAAATACTCATGAGCAACAAACAAGGGATTGCAAAGGCATAATCTATGTAACCTTTCTTAGAATTGGACTGGCCATTTCTAAGAAGTTCTCTGGGTTTTGCTCGAGAGTAAGCCTATGGGTGCGTCAGTGCTTTTAGATATTTTTATCAAGCAAAAGCACAAAGCAGCATACTGATACTAAGGCACAAAAGAACACACACATAGCAGTTTTACTTTCATTTCATTCATCTTCGGCAACAGTCTCACATACAATGCTTAACAAATTTAGTATAACACCTATAATGATTTATATAAAAAGTAATTTTTCAGAAATTGTATATAAATAACTGTAACTTGCCAACTTAACAAATAATAATAATAATGTGCTTTACAACTGCTTTTTCCTTGTTTATATGTAAAACATTTCAATTATGTTAGTGATAATTATATTTTAGCATTATAAATATCACGTAGACTAAAGAGCTTGCACATATTAGTGAATTAACCATTACAGAAACATAAAAGATGATTCTGATAATTATCCAACAGGTTACTTTATGGTAGCTAAGCTGCATTTGTCACAATGCCACAAACTTCAATTCATTTCTTTTCTCAATTAATTTCAGTCGTATTTATATAGCATCAAATTACGATAACAGTCACCTCAAGGTGCTTTATATTGTAAGGTAAAGACATCCTGAGTTTAGATAGCGGCTCTGTGTTGGAATATGACACTGAAGAAGATAACAGTGGAGGAAGCAGATCCTTAAATTTAGTTACAGCCCTTTCAAAAAAATATCTACTGTAATCAGATGTATTTCCCACTGCTATGTAAACCATTATTGTAAATATAAATGTTATTAGGGAATGATCACTCAAAGGCACTACATCAGGTAAAAAGCATGAGAAATCAGATAGAAACAGATACGGTTGAGGCTATAAAGTTCGAGTTTTTTGGAGCCTCAAGTGGCCAATAGAGGAACTACAGTTTTTGGCACTTAAGTGTTGGCTTTATAATACAGCCCTAGATGTTGCCAGATGATAAAGATTTGCCATATAACAACAAAATGTGTCTAAAAATTATCCAATTTTCTTTGGTTTTTAATTAATCTAGTGAAGGTTGTACCTGCAAATCCAAGGTAGGTCTAATGTGTTTTCATAAGACCCAAAGTGATATCCAATATGATATGAAAATCAAGAATAAAAGCCCCTATAGTTTGTTCTATGTCAGTCTGATTTCTCTTCCTCTCTGCTGTCGTCGTTCAGGTATCTGCAGGGGAACTGGAGCGGCTCATGGTCCGTCTGCCCAGTATGTTCAGGCAGGAGCTGAGTGGCGTCGGTGCAACTCTGGAAAAAAGATGGAAATTCTGCGGTTTTGACACACTGAGTTCAGCGTGACACAGGAGTGGCGCACACACACACTGCGAAGACACACCAACGTGAACAGATGTGCACAATGCCTCGGACCTTTAATTCACATGTGTGTGTGCGCATGTTCTTCAGACACACGGCAGTGCAGTAGACAACAGATGACGTTCACTCAAGCAGACACTGGAAACTGTGAAAGCGACGGATTTTTTTTTTTTAGAATCCCAAAAGACATTTCACCTCTGGATGCTGGGTTCAGGTGAAATAACATTTCTTTTCCTCACTGCAGATTGTCACCACGGTGAACTGCAACAGGGCGTTATAGACTATCGTCGGTCAGCGCGGAAGACACACCCTCTGTCTGTCCTCTGAAGTGAATCATGGTCCTTGGTGTCTTGCTGTCGGTGCAGTTTGGAGTCTGAAAAATCCAGCAACAACCGAAACATCACAGACAGAGAGTTTAAAAAAAATTTATACCAAAGTTGAACGTTAAAAGATTTGATGCCAAACCTCATTTCCCTGGCAGATAAATCATCTCCTACTTGGTCCAAGAACTGGCTGTGCAAGGGAGTTTTTTGCTGGGCTTCCTGTGGCATGATGGGACCACAGATAGATCACTTCCTCTTAATGGTTTGGAAAGGACTTTGTACACCAACTCTAAATCTGTCATTCAATAAAAACACATACAGAGCCCTTTAATTTAATCTTTACTGCCAGCTGATTGTAATCTTGTGTTACTTTCTGAATGTGGTGGTGAAACAATATCTAACATTATTTGTGTTGCATTTTCTCTATATTCATATTTGGGGTTTTCAAGCTTTCAGGCAATTCCCTGACTTTGTCCATAAGGAAGCGATTTTCCCCAGAATTTCTACTGGGGTGCAAATTATGTGTTGCCTCAGAGAAGATTTGCTGCTTTTAAGGCTAAAGTAAGGGAATAAAAGTCTGTGTGCACAGTGACCACCACAGATTACATGAAAGGACGGCCATTGCACAACTAACTTCAGCCTTACTCTGCTAGACTATCAGAATACAGTAAATCCCCCATTCTGTAAAAAGAGTATATCTGCAGAAAGGAGTATCTGAAATAAGATTTTTTTTTTAAGTAAAAGCAATTTAAAAGGTCAGTATACAAGAGATCTACAGGGTGTTAGAAATATCATATGTGAGAACAAATAATGGTGAGAACATGTTTGACACTGTGAATTCTTTAGGTATGCTCATTGCATTAGTTTCAATTAAGCTTTATTTATACAGTGCCAAATCACAGCGTCAGTGCTTTTTATATTGTAAGGTAAAGACCCAACAATAATACATTCTTGGTGAGGGGAAAGAGCAGAGAGAGATGGGACAAGAGACAAACTATAGTGATAATGTAAATAGATCTAATCCCAGCACAGAACCCTGTGGAACTCCAATCACTGCAGCCCGGTACCTTTAATACCTGTGGCCTGTTCTAATCTCTATTTGTGATTAGAACAGATCATATGTCTGTGTCACATGATCTGGAATTGACCATTTCAATTCAATTCAATTTCAATTCAATTCAATTTTATTTATATAGCGCCAAATCACAACATAAGTCGCCTCAAGGCGCTTCATAGATACGTACCTGTCAGTGATAAAGTACCTTATATAGTGCTAGAAGTTTACAGTTTTAAGGCCAGACTACCCTGTGGGATTATATCCGTGAAGACTACGTGCAGTATAAGGACCTAGATTTTGCTACTCCTGATCAGAGAATAAGCAAGCCAAAAATCTTCAAACAGACATGTGCTACTTCACACCTGGGTACCATCGCAAAACATCTTGGATACATTTACCGTAAATAATGTGAGCCTCCATTGTTACTGGATGCTAGTGTTTACTGAATGACAGTTTAGGGTTGGTGTGTGAACATGAGTTCGTATTTATTTCTTACTGCCAGATATTTTTTAATTGAAAAAATAATAATATACAGGCAAACTGATGTGGAGTTTGAAATAATCTGAGTGACTAAGTGTAAGAAACACTCCAGGCCTGTTAGGTGCTCCCTGATGAGGACACGGACACTGGAAACAGGAGGGTTAGAGGAAGGAAAGGACAATATTTGGGGGGAAAGATGATGGAAGTAAAGAAAGAAAAATTGCTGATTTGTCAAAGACCGATGTGAGGGATCGAAATTCAATCATTCTGCTTAATTTATTTCATTATATTGTGTAAAGAAGCTGTTCACAGAAGGCAGCAGACTGAAATGTTCCACTGCCATATTACATATTGTAATTAAATATGGTAAAATGCAAAAAACATGACCTAAGTGGTGCTACTTTTTTCAAATACAGTATACAACGTTAATGACTGTGACAAATATTTATTATCCTTCTGACTAGAGCGAAGGGAAGAGATCATGATGTTCGTCTGGGGACTGAAGATGATTTTTGTCATTTCTGAGTGTTTTTAAAGACCACAAAGCTGGACATGTAGAAAATACAATGCTAATGTTATTTAGCATTGCACTCCCATTAATGTTATGGGTACTCGTTCTCCTTATTTAAATATCTAAATATCTTCTTTTCTAAAAAAGAAAAAAAGAATAGTTGCACAAAAGTGTGGCTTGGAAGTGGAAGAGTGGAGTGCTCCACGTTTTGAATTTTCAACAACAGGCTGATACAAGTTAAGTTTGAACACGTTACTATAATAAAATACTTCTTATCACTTGCTGCTGTCTAAATCCAGATTGTGAGTTATATACCGACTGTGTATTTAAGCTTTGCTGTAGATCAGTTTGCATTAGTAATCTCTGCTTTTGTGTTGTTTTGGGTCTAAACGTTCACGCACTCCAGCAAGAAAAAGTAAGGAAACAAGTTTCATTTCATTTTTTTAGGGTATTTAGCTTCCCACTTTTTAAAAATTTCAACCTTTTGTAATGAAGTGATATTTTGCAGATGAATTCTCTACTCCATGCTTCTCTTTTCCCTGTAAATTCTCCATCACACCTTTCCTTGACCTCATAGTGTTTTACACTGAGGACATATAGAAAGCGTTATCAGTTAGAGTACAAAAGCTCTATATAAGTAACAGTCTGGTTACCAAATGGTGGTTAGAGGCCTTTTTTTGGACTATTTAGAAGTATCCTGACCACATGAGGAGCTAAGCTTAAAACTAAAACAGGAAATAACCATCGACACATTGAGAGAGACAATGACGGATCCACAAAAGCAACATGATGCTGAAAAATATGTAGCGAAACAAGAACTGAAGAAAACTGAGGAACCAAAATTTAACAAAAAAACACAAACAAAACAATCATGGATAGTACAAAGCCCATGATGGACATTTTGTGTGATTTTTTTTTTCCCACACAAAACTCAACAACCAGTTTAAGAAATACTACTTCAAAATAAAGTTTTAGCTGCTGGTCACAGCATGGATCCCAGTGTGTGACAACAGAGATTTCCAGTTTCAAGTTTCTGAAAGTTGCATTTTGAACCAAAGAGGTTTGGGGAAAAAAAACTTGGATTTTCCTCCTGGGAAACTGTGAAAACAGCAATTTGTGGACAAACAGTAAATCAGGGGTTGGAACTATTTAGTTGGGTATTTAATTAGGGTAGGCTGTAGTTTTCCAGGCATGGTGGTGCCTCGGTAATATTTTATTCTTTCATTTATTTCATTGTATACATTTAACACTAGAAACCAGACCACAGATTTGGTGGTTCTGCTGGAGCTACAGCAGTACACATAAATATAGGTTTAACAGAAACACTCATACGCTGAGGTATTACATCAATAAGTCTTGCTACACACACTCAGCCCTGAGATCTGAGTGACAGGAAACACCAAATTGATTGATTGATCGATCATACTTTATTCATCCCGAGGGAAATTGGGTTAAGGCTGCCAGAATTTAGCTTAGTGTGATGGTCATTTTGCTAACTGCATGTGGGACACCTTGCTGACCTTTTCCCTTTAAATGTTACAGGGTTTTATGGGTTGGGAATGACATTAAAAGTGCATTTGCAGTTATTTTCACAGCAAATTTGTGGAGAAAATTACAGGTTATGGTTTTAGTGATGTGGAAGTAAAGTTTTTCTTACAGTAATACCTCTGCAAAGTGAAGCTCAGTGCAGCAACAAAACTAAATAAAAGAAGAGTGTAAAAGGAGACTGTAAATAAAAGTATTCAAACTTTACTTCTCTGGGGAATCCAGCTCACAGGATGATGTAAAAGGCTGTTCATGACCACAGAGCTGCTACTGATGCAACACGGACGTAACACACGTGGCTGCTAATGGAAACATGAGTGTGGGTGTATGTGTATGCACGGGGTATCCAAACACAAATCTAGGGCAGAGATTCACTGTCAAACACAATCTTTGCTAAAGGCTTTTTTAGCATTTTTCTCCTTCCCTGCTCACAAATCTCTTTCAGCTCAAGAAAAATTAATTCCATGGAGGAATCACTGACTCACTGAAGTTCCTGCAAAGGAATTCACACCCGTTTTCATGGATATATTGCTGTACTGCGGGCACGCCGTCTCTTCTACTGCAATCCCTCCCAAACCCGCAGTTCCTCTTTATGTGCTGAGACTGAATGTGAAGCAAATTTTAGAAGTGGATGAATCAGATAGAAAGGCAATGGAAAGATGCAGATGAGTGCACACAGATAAACCGAAGCCTCAGTTTCTAGCTTTTGATTGGTTGCTCTCGAGTGTGTGAACCTTCACGTTCCATATGCTTTCTTTATGGCCATTGGTGGTAATGATAACCGTGCACCCGCTCTCTGTCACTGGAAAGCATTCGTGGAGGAAATATCAGATCATTGCGATCAATATTTTAAATCTTGAATGCTTCACTTCTGGTTAAAATGTAGTCGATAGTGGTAACATTGAAGTGGTTTACAATTAAAGGTCACAGAATTCTGTGTGCAAAGGAACAAACTCGAGTTATTTAGATAAAAGAGTCGGGCAATAACTGACTTTTTTCATAATTCTATAAGCGATCTATAAGATTTTGTGCTGCACAAGGCAAAAGTCTCCCTCACAGTCATGTTGTAGAAGATGTGCTTCAGATTATTGTTCTGCTGCCACATTTTGGTCCAAGCTTTAGGTGCCGAATTCTAAAATCATTCATTATTCTAAAGCGTAGCATTTGAGTCGAGAATTTGGTATACGGAAGAGTTCCTACTCAATGACAGAAAGATGTCCTGCAACTGCAAAACAAGCCCAAATCATCACGCCTGCTCGTAGCCGAAAAATAGCTTTACTTTGTTGTCTGGGTCAAGTTTTCTTGCAAGAGACAGAGAGAGGCGTTGAAAGGCTGCTCCAACGGAACTTATTGTTTTCGGAGGAAAACACGAACAAAGCGTACAGTCGAGTCTTAATAGCTTACTTACAACTGGGCTCGTCAGGCACTCTTCTTGACTGAAGTGGTTATTATTATATTTACATGCTTCCAGCTCCCGTTTCTACTCGATGACAGCTCGTACTTTTCCACTCTCATTTTTCTCCCTCCTTGCGTTCACAGACACATAACGGGTATGGCAGTCCATTCTCCCTGCAGCACGGACTACACTGCCCATGATGCTACATTCGTTAGAGCTGTACCTGTAGCATTCTGCCTATTAGCTTAGCACAACAAAAACAAAAAGGTGCTCTCTCACCCAGGAAATACGCAGAGAGAGAGCGTCACCCTGTAACCATGGCAACCGTAACGCTGCCGCCTGGAACAACAGAACGTAGCTGTCAAACAAACCCAAACAGTCCTGACCCGCGACAATATGAAACAGGAAAGTACCGCAGTGTAATCCATTTATTTCAACAAAGTAACTGTATTCTAAATACCACCTTTTTAAACGGTAACTGTAACGGAATACAGTTACTCATATTTTGTATTTTAAATACGTAACTGCGGTACATGTATTCCGTTACTCCCCAACACTGTAGACAGGCAAGTCCAACAATTCACTCAGAAGTGCAATTTTCCAATCGTGCTCGTCCCTTGCTCCCAGTGCGTTCCGTGTTGTAACTCCCTAGTGTGTGTGGTCCCCAACTCTTCTCCGCTCGCCTTTCCTGGAGGAAGAAGTGTAGTATCAGGTAAATGTTAAGTGGTAGGAACGTTTCTGCTGGGTTGTTGTTGTAGGGGGGGATGGAAAATAATAAAGGACACTCATGGAGTAATGGCGCGTCTCGTGTGTCTGTGAGTTATGCCTCCAGTCAAATAACATCCATAACCTCAAATAACGGAACATGGTGTCAGAAGACAATTGGAAACGTTAGTTGGGCATAAGTGAAAGGTTTCGGCGTCGGTGCCAGGTTAAAGGTCGGCCATAGAGGAGCTGCGCGAAAAGAGACGTGGCGTCATGAGTCAGTTTCAAGTCACCCCGCCGGAGAAGTTCACTTTTAGGTCCGACGACTGGACCAAATGGATAAAGCGTTTTGACAGATTTCGCATCGCGTCTGGATTGGAGACGCAAGCGGACGAAAATCAAGTGAACGCCCTTATCTACACTATGGGCGAGGAGGCAGAGGACATATTGGTATCCCTGCACCTGACTCCCGAAGAGGCGAGCGATTATGAGACCGTTAAAAGGAGGTTGGATGCTCACTTCGTAGCCCGAAGAAACATCATATTTGAGCGAGCGAAGTTTAACCAGCGCCAACAAGAGACGGGTGAGTCAGTTGACAACTTCCATACTGCACTGCATTGTCTGGCAGAACATTGTGGATACGGGACTTTGCATGACGAAATGGTGCGAGACAGATTTGTCGTGGGTCTGAAAGACAAACGATTGTCAGAACAGCTACAAATGGATCCAGAACTAACGCTAGAGAAAGCGCTTAACAGAGCCCGACAAAGTGAGCTTGTAAAGAAGCAACAAGAGATGCTAAGCACTAACTTTAAAATGGATATTACCAACTCACAACTGAACCGCGTCCATGCTAAACGGCAAGAAGGGGCACGTCCCAAGCAGCTGACACTGCTACATAAACAAACCGCCAAAACACAGAAAGAAAAAAAGACACAATGCAGAAGATGTGGAGACATAAAAGGTCACAATCTTCAACAATGCCCTGCGAGGGAAGCCGCATGTAATTACTGTAAGAAAAAAGGACATTTTGCCAGGATGTGCAGAAACAAAAAACTGTGTGAAGTCAATGCTGCAACAGTTTCAGAGAACAGCGATACAGATGATGAGGTCGCTTTCTTGGGTTCCCTCTCTGCGGACACCAAAGAGAGTCCATGGGTAACAGAGATACATGTGGACAAATGCAACACATTCTTTAAAATCGACACTGGAGCGGATGTCACAGCAGTCCCAGAGACTTTCTACACACAGCATCAGTTGGGGAGATTGGATAAGCCCAAAAGGGTTCTGCAGGGCCCAGGAGGAACACGTCTGAAGGTAAAAGGCATGTTCACAGCCACTCTCAGCAAGAACAACCACAAAACCAAAGAAGACATTTATGTCGTAAAGGGTTTATGCACACCGCTGCTGAGCGGGCATGCTGCAGTGGCACTACAGCTGGTTGCTAGAGTTAATCATATTAGCTTAGACTCTATTGACGCTGTCAAACAAGAATTCCCCAAGCTTTTCAACGGCTTAGGCAAAATGGAGGGGGAGTACAATATTGTTCTGAAACCAGAGGCACAGCCGTTTTCCCTCTCGACCCCTAGGCGAATC